AGATCAAAATATGTGTAAAAATATCATAACATTATTATAATAAAAAACATTAAAAATTGTAATAGGGCTCATTTGAAGTTATTTTTTGCTCCCCTGGAAGAAAGACAGTTACTGTCCCAATTGATCTTATTTTGCTCCTCTAGCCTATTCTCTCAAGGGTCCCTTTTCTACACTATCTAGAAGTGGAGGAACACTGAGCCCTGTTGTCTTCTACTTCCTGAAAGAATCCTAGGCTGCTCTCCTAAACAGGAGCAATCATTTTCTAAAAGGAACTGAGCTGTCCCTTCAAGCAACAATGATTTCCTGGTGCCAACAGGACCCAACAGGACCAGATAATGATCTATCAGATCACAGTTTGGCTAGTGCTGTTTGATTATGAATGCCCCTGGCTCCCACTTTGTCCTTTTCTTATATAAAGTATCCAGAACACAGGAGTTAGTATGTTGATCCTCTTGTTCCTTGCTAGTGTGACCCTAATGAAAAAGCTCCTTTCTGGTTTCACCTCACTCCTCTCTCCTCCCCATGCAGAGATGCCTCAATCTGGTTAGCTGGGAACTCCTCTGGCCCAGGACTCTGGTAACAATCTTTCCTTAAACTTTTTGAAAGTTAAATGGGTTTCCTTTCAAGTCCAGGGAAGAGTTCATGGAGATGCTGGATCTCAAGAATATTAGCAATGTGTGGGCACACTGTACAGAAGACTTGTAAAAAACTTCCAGTGCTAACATTTTATTGACAGTAAGACAACAGATATCACCATTAAACTTACAAAAACAGTAAGTCAAAAGAATTTTGACTTTGGTCAAAAAACAATTTGGCAACGTATATCATAGAAACACTTATTTAGTAATTCTGTGCTTGAAGTTTTTCTAAAATTTCAAAGGAGAGCTCATTAAAATGTTATATGTTTTAACTGCACGTACAGATATTCCATGTGTGTTCCTGGTGTCAAGTTCAGAAGAGGGTACCCGACTCTCTAGAGCTGGACTTACAGGCTGTTGTGAGCCACCACATGGATGCTAGAAACTAAACCTGGGTTTTCTACAAGAGCAGCTACCTTCTTAACTACTGAGTCTTTTCTCCAACCCTTAGTTTTTCAACTTGAAATGTGTAACATACCTACATAAAGAAAAATGTTGCAAAACTGCCATTTAGTAAGTGTTCCATGCAGTATTGATATTATTCACTTTATTGGTACTATGCCCCTTAAGAGAAATATTTTCTATAGCACTTATTAAGTATTACTGCACTAAAATGATTACTTGTTCTCTAACTTGTCTCATTGGTTTTTAGTTTTATGAAATGCTTGGGATTCTTTCCTACTTCTATTCAGTTGCTATTTGCTATTTGTATGTAAGTAATTTATATGACATTAGCTTTCCTCCTGTTAGTTTCTTTAATGTTTTTATTTGACATGTAAACAGGTTTCATACATTTGGCTATGTTACTTTGCCAAAAAAAAAAAAAAAAAGAAAAAAAAGAAAGAAAGAAAAAAGAAAAGGACAAAGAAATATGCTGTTGCACAATCATTTCGACCAAACCAGTTAAGATATCCAGTTTAATTAATAACAGACATTTCCTTATTCTTTTTATACCACAAAAAAGTGAACTCATTACTGAACACATCCCTCATAAAACACATAAAACACTAGAGCAAATATATCAAAGCTCACTATGCCATGGATAATTATTAGAAATCTTCATTGTTAAGGAAAATTAAATAAGAAAAGATGGGCTGAGGCTTTTATTCCACTAAACATGACCCTATTTTTTGTGTGAAAGAGATCAATGTTTACTCCTTTAATTATTAACTACTCATCAAACTTCGGTGGCATATAACTAATTCAGAATACAGATAGACAGGCATTTACAACTTAACATCACCTATCATATTCTTACTAGAACAGTACATAGCTTAAAAAGCTGATGTTTAAGACACAAGAAAAAAATCAGTATACATTAGATAGAAAACATATTTATCAGGAACAGAATTTTGTTGAGTGAATAAACTACACAGGGTCTGGTTAAAGGACCTGCTGAGCAAGCAAGAAGACCAGACAGGGTTTAGATCACCAGAACCCATGTAAAATGCTGAGTGGGCATGGAGAGCTATATAGAAAGGTATATTAGTCTTACAAGCTAAAGATAGGGGATCCATGGAACAAGCTGGCTAGTAAGACTAATCTTATCCATAATCTCTGAATTCAATAGATACCTGCCTCAAAATAAACACTGTAGAAAAGCAATCAAGGAAGATTTTAAACCCTGGCCCTCACATGCGCAAGCACATAAACGTTCTCTGATACATGCAAAAACACACACACACACACACACACACACACACACACACACACACACACACAGAGTAAACCCATCCAGATGAGAACATCAAATATAATCACCACCATCAGTGATTAATAAAGGATATAGTAGTAAAACTGAGTTTTGATTTTCCCCCAGTAAATAAAAAGAAATGAGTAAGTAAAACAATTTACTAAGCACAGAATTTTAAAAACCACTTGATGATGTGTGATTTCATTATTCTAATGCTAAAATAAGAAACATGGAGTTCCACACATGTATTCCACACAAAATAATCTTAGGATACCATGAAATTTATTAGTACAATATATTTAAAATTTTACTGAATAAAACTCGCATATAGAATTTAACTATGAATTTTTTTAAAACTTGGCTGAAATCTAAGCCCAACACAGTGTCGAACACCTTTTATCCCAGCACTCAGGAAACAAAGGTAGGTGGGTCCCTGAATATGAAACCAGACTATCTACAGAACAAGTTCTAGAATAGTCAGAGCTACAAGAGAAACCCTGTCTTTATAAAACTAAGTAACAAAGCTGGGCAGTGGTGCACATGCCTTTGGTCCCAGCACTCAAGGAGACAGAGGCAGGTGGATCTCTGAGTTCTAGGTCAACCTGGAAAACTTACAGAGTTAGTTCCAGGACAGCCATGTATAGCTGTGGCTCCAGAGAAACCCTGTCTTGAACCCTACCCCCTCCAAACAAACAAACAAACAAAAAAAAAATTGGCTGAAATCTAATACATTCTAAAAATAACATTAAGACTGAGAAGAATGAAGAACAAACGTTGTATTTCAAAAAAACCCTCATTTTATTACAAAATAAGCCTCCCAAAATACATTATCAAAAAAAGGTAACTATTAGTGTAAGTTGAGAATATAACTAATTAATGAAAAACAAACATTGCATTAAGTTCTTGTTCGTAGATTTTATTTTTAACACAGGTTATAGAGTTGACCACTATAAAATATTATGGAATGTCGGGACATATTACGTTTTGGTTATTAATAACCAGTCTCTTTTTACAAAAAGTACATGTTAAGACATTTTCCTTTAATCTATAAAATTCAAAAGGCCATTTCAGTATAATTAATAATTTATAATACAATACAAAGAGTAAACTAATACAACTGTTAAGAATCAAGTTTAAAAAAGAAAAAAGACCACTAGGGCATACATAGGAGAGATCACACTACAACAGTATAGACCCTGGTTTTGTTGGACTCTGCCTTCCATTGCTTTGGGGAGGCAGACAAGGCTGCCAACTTCGCCAGTGTTAGCATCTTAGTTTCTTCTAAGCCTATTTAGGTCCTGTTTTACGACACCAAAGTTTTATAGTACTTACAAATGGAAGAACTAAAAGCATCCCTGATTTATTTTTTTTTAACACTGTGGCAAAGACTTGCTTTTTTTCAGCGCTGAATTCCTAGGTCTCTGAAGGCTAAGTACATGTTTATAATGTATTTATAATGAAACTCTCACATTATCCCTCCGCCTGCCCCTCCTCATCCTGCTTCATCCTATCAGCTGCTTGTTTTAGGCAGAAAGGTTGGCACAGCACTGCAAATACCATACGCTTAAGATTCGAATAATTTTAAAGGATGCATTTTCAACTAAATGTTGTCTGCATCAACAAATTCCTCTCCAAAGGTTGAATTTTTATTAACATAATAAAAAACCAATCAATTTCAGAAACTGAACTATACCCGGCCTCTTTTTTGTTTTGTTTGCTTTAAACGTATCCTAATGTATTCCCTTAGGAATGTGAACGCATTACCCACCCAGTGGAAAAAATAATTCTGCTGGTTCATTTCTCTGCTAAACAGCTTCGCTGTTAGGCCCTATCTAGCCCAGCTTTCATTGTTACCTAGTAATTTTATATTGATCACCGAGGCAGACTTGGACTCTAGCAGGTATAAGCCTGTCTTCTCTTTATTTGGGAGGAAAGAAAGAAAGAAAGAAAAAAAAAAAAAAAGACAAAAAACAGTAAAACTACTCAAGACCATAAAATAGAGATCATATGACTTAGAACCCATTTCCTTGTCTTCCCTTCCGTTTCACGCAGCTGCTATTTCTCCCCCTAGACGAAAATGGAAGGGAGCCAGACCCAAACCCCACAACTGAACCTTAGGACAATGAAGCCCACAGGAAGCCACTCGCTCCTTCCGCGGGTTTACTACCCAGCTAGAGGCTACGTGGGGTGCAGTCGCGGGGCAGGCTGCGTGACAGCACGTCTTCCACGCCCTCGCGACACCACCCGAAGGCTGGTCGTCCGACCTCCCCTCCGCCTCCGCCGCCCGCCTCACACCCCGAAACCCACGCTACAAAAGGGATGGGCGCCCTGGAAAGCTCGTTCCCTAGCGGCCGAGCAGCCATTCCCTCGACGCTCCGCCCGAGGCGGCCGCTGCACAAAGCCGGGAGGCAGCTCAAGAGGACCGGGCGCACCGAAGGGAAGACGGCCCGGGGCGTCCGGCCGCAGTCCGTGGGGGAGGGGAGGGGACGAGAGGGGAGAGCAGGGCAGGGCGGCGGCCGCGCGGGGCGTCCCGGGCAGAGCCCCTCGGCCTCTAGGCTCGCACTCCACCCCGCCGCGGGCCGCGCCCCGACCCCGGCCGCAGGAACTGAGGAGGAGAACGAGGATGTGCAGAATCCCCTGGCCGCGCCGACCCCGAGCGCATCACTTACCCCTCACCGCGGAGAGGGACCCGACCGGACCGGACCGGGAGGCGGGGCGCGGCGCGTCCCGTCAGTCTCTGCCACGCTGTCCTCCCCCAAACCCCGTCGCCGTAGTCGCCGCCGCCGCCGCCGCGGAGCTCGGGCCCTTCGGCTCCTCTGGGCAATAACGTTATTCCACACACGCCCCACACATAGCGGGAACGGCAGCGAGCGACAGCTCAGTGCGCAGGCGCCTCGCAAAGGGCAAGGAGCCAGGCCCTCTCCCTCTTCCCCGGGCCTAGCGATGCCTGACTGCGCAGGCGCCAGACCCAGACAATGAAAGGGGGCTTTGAGGAGGGTCTCACACACACACACACACACGCACGCACACACTCACACACACACACACACACTCGTCCACTGCGCAGGCGTGCCCTCAAGACTCGCTTGAACAATGAAGAGCTGCCTGGCTGGAGTAGGACCGCAACCAACCAGGACTACGATTCCCAGCGGGCAGCGCGCCAACCCCGCGCGGAGGGCGGGGCACTGAGCAAGCTAGGAGTTGTAGAGTGTCCTGTCCGCCAGCTGCACAGTCCGGCTGTTTGGAAGGTTTACAGCTTCATTTTCTAGAGAAAAGCAATTTTGACAGAAAACTTAAACAGAGTTTACAGTGAATCCTTGAGAGGGCTTGGAGAGCAACTCCACGAGGACCCATTTTGAATAATCTAGGCCTTCGCCGGGCCTCTTTTGTCAGCGGGTCGATCCAGGTGGCTGGAGGATGGCAGGACAGCAGAACTAATCCAAGCGGGGCAGAAGGGAAAGGGCGCGGCCTGCCAGCCGGTTTCTTGGCAACGGGCTCAGGCCGCTAAACTGCCTGAGTGGCGCCCCTAGCGCATAGCCCTCTGGGAATCGTAGTGTAGCTGGAAGGCTCATAGGACTCTGGAGGCTGCAGACTTTGAGCCTGTGAACTACAACTCCCGACGATCACTATGAGGGCCAGGGGGTAGGAAGAGCCCCCAGGAGCTCGGTCCGGGGTTCCTGGCTCCCTAGTGACAGCCGCGACAAGAAGCAGGCAGGCATCCCCCAACCCCCCCAGCGCTAGGCCTGTCCTCGAAGGGGTGCACTGGACACTTTCCCGCATAATTCCCATCTCTGACCCCATGGCGAAATCCCCAGGGAACTCTACCCTGGAGGACAGTCTGGGGCAATATCAACGGAGTCTCCGGGGTGAGTTGCTCCGAATCTCAGTGCCTAGCTCCTAGGTACCCTGGGCAGTAGTGGGTGGTTTTCCTAACACTTTCCTTGAGCACCAGCCAGGCCGTGGAGGAAGAAGATGGATGTTGCTATGACCTTAAGGATAAAAATAGTTTGATTTTGGTTGTGGGGTTAAGCAGCGCTGTTACCTCTTTCTAATGGTAACCTGACCCAACAGGGTACTTACATCTTGACTTAAATGTTTGTCAACTAGTGCCAGTTCAAACTTCTGGACATCTCTATGCCTCTTTTACCCTGTTGCCATACTTAGCTGTTTAATCCAATAAATTCTCATTCATATTTTTTACACATTCAAAATCTTACTTAGACCAGAGACAAAACACTGCTAATTATTTGAAATAATACGATATTTATTGATCTACATTATTTTTATATAGCAAAGCATTTAAAACTTTATCTTACTAATGTTCCCATTTTACATGTCAAGAAATCAAATCTCAGAGAGATTGAGTTGTAGGCCAAACCCATACAGCTAGTTGGTTAGTACCAAAGGCAGGTATCGAATTCAGGCCTATCCATCTTCAAAACCTATGTATTGTTATTAATCAAGTCATAATTACTATAATCAAAGCCCTATTTAGTTAAGTCACGTTTTTCGGAACAAAATACCAGAGGAATGATTATTTGGCCAAATGGTGTCCATACTTAGAGTTAGCTCTGTCATCTTGCCAACATACATAACCTCTGGGAACATGAGTCCTTGTTATATTGAAGTTGTAGTATCAACTACACACTGATTATTGTGGGGAACAAATGAACAAAATAGTGAACATAAAACAGTGATTTTTCAGATCTTAAAAAAAAAGCATTCATCCATAGGAAGACATGCATGTTAGGGCCTAGGAGTGTGACTCAGTATTAGAATGCTTGTCTGGCATGTGGAAAGGAAGGAAGGTGAGATGGTCATATAGTAAATGTGGGATATAGAAAATAATAAATTCACTAAAGACTTAATTCTATTGGTTGTTATGCACTTTTTCCTATTATGCATTTTTATAGATTATGACCAACAGTTAAAATATTTGAATCATTTGTAACCTGATTTATTCTGCAAATAATAATTGAAGCCTGATTTGGGTTGCTCATACTAGCTCATGTATTTGCAATGAGTCCCTATCACAGTGGAATCTTTGGGTTAGTGAGAAAGACAATAAATAACACAATTGCAATTTCGTGTGGTTTCAAACTATGGTGACAACCAATGTTTGACACATAAATACTAAGTGTTAGCCGCTAACATTTGCTTCCTTAAAAATATGTAATTTTTTGAGAAGACTGGAAAATTTATTTCCTTGACTTTGTAGGTCTATTGTTTATTGGCTGTATCTATTAACCTATTGATAGTTCAAGATTTGTTGGGTACCCAAGTAACTGCTTCCAAACTTTTTGTTTGGAATCAAGAAAAATACTGTGCTCAGAGATATTAATGGTTTTAATTTTTAATTTTTAGGTTGGTAAGTTTTTCTGATTTTTTTGTTGTTGTTTCATTTAGTACTTCTATGACATAATTATGGGCCTTTAACCACTGGGGAACTATTTAAAAGTAGTCATTTTGATATAGTCATGTGGTTTATCTGACTGGAGCAACAGGGAATGAAGAAATGGCAGATACAAGTAACATCCAGCTGTGATTGAATGGACCATGGTCTCAGATGGAGAAACAGCAACATCAGTCTGGAAACTTAGCAGGAATAAGGGGTTTCTGTAGGGGAGCAATCTGGGGCTGCAGTCATCTGGGATGAGGAAGCTGTGGTCTGTACTTCCAGCACGTACTGGTTTTAGGTACAGGTCACCTGTGTCCATACTATGAGCAGGGGAAGCATTGGCATTCTGCAGAGCCTGACCAGGGGAAGGCCTTGACATCCCGATGGGTCTGAGGCATTGAAATCCTTGATATGTTTGTGCTCATGTCAAATATACAATTCACTCAGGATTTCATCTGCTCCCCACAATTTGAGGGGTGCCTTAATATTAAGCATTTTGTTGATATAGTCACAAGGCTAATTTCAAACTAGTTTGATAGAGGGTGCTTAGCTTGATGGTGTAGCTCTTCACTAGTCTGTACAAGGTCCTGTGTTCAACCTCCCACACCATAAAAAGTAAATCTTGTAGTAATGTGTGTAGTAGTGCTGCTATTGCTTCCAGTAACTCTAACATGAAGTTCTAATTAAAGTAAATTTAAAATGCATAATTAATATGATAGCCATTTAAGGTCAAAATATTTCACCAATGGTAAATGTGAGGTGGAGAAAAAAAGATAAACATTTGAAAACAGTTAAGCCATAATTTTAACAGTGATTCAAAAAGTGGAACTTGATTTTCCCCTGGTTTTCAGGAAGTATTGCTTATTGATTTAGTGACTTCTTAATTGTATTAGTACATACAACAATATCTGGAAGAAAACAAAACAGGATTAACCCTGGACTTGAGCAGAGGTAAATATCAATTACCACTGTCAGAGAGAATAATTCCCTTTAAAGTAAACTTTTCTTTCTGAATAGTCAAACTGTGGCAAATATAATGTTTAAGAGTTGTGTTATAAAATGCCTTCCCAAAGTATTGGTCTTTTAGTCCTGTTTATCCCTGAGGCTGTAAAATAAGTGTGCATTCACTAATTGCTAGTATCTCTTCTTTTTTATGAAATAGCCATATGAACATTTAAGTTTCCAGCTTAGTCAAAGTAAGCATATCACTGGTACCTTGGAAGCCACAGAACTAAATCTGTGACTGGAAGGGATTTTGTAGGCCTCGGGCAGTGTAGTTTTGGATCTATTTACTTAGGTAGGCATCAATCAAGGTACACAGTTGCCGAGAGACATTTGTAACTAGGGAAAATAGCAAATGCATCTGCTGTTATAGCCTTCACAAAATTATATGTTCGAGCATTTGGCCCCAATTGGTGGCACTGTTTTTGGAGGTTGCAGAATGTTTGGGATGAGAGTTCTAGCATCACTCCATTTTATCAAGTAGATTATATTTCTCAGTTATTCCTCACTTTGTGTTGCCTGTAGCCTTGGTGAGAAATTGGGGGAGAGACTGTGTGGCACACACCAGAACTATTACTTGGGAGTTTGAAGGAGGAGGCTGAGCTCTTCACTTCTTGGTTGTCTACAATGCAAACAAGCTTAGAGTTCCTGCTTCCAGGAACTGAGAGGCCACCCTATGCCACACCAGCTAGGATACAAAAGGACATTTGAACGGTGTGTCAAAGCTGTCAAGTTGATCCTCCCATTTAAATTTTATGTATTGCTCTGGGGATGTAACCCTGAAGTAGAGCAGTTGTCTTGTAAGTTAAGGGTCAGTTAAACCTCCACCATTGAAGTAAAGGAGTAAATAAATCATTTCAATGCATAATTGTATGTGAACATGAGATAAAATCAACTGGTTTACAGCCAAGAGGGGAGAAGAAAGTAAGAATTACAGTCAACCCAGGATGTTTTTGTATTGCACATTTGAGCGTGTGCTTCCAGTATTAAAAAGGAGTGAGGCTGCAAGGTAACATGGTGTCTGTCTCTACTCACAGAGCCCTGCCACATCCCTGGTACAGCTTGGGGTGTGAGTGCAGCAGAGCAACAACGCCTTTTTCACCTGAGCAGATGCTCCTGTCCATCCACCTTTGGCTGAGTGGGCAGACTATTCCAACAAGCTTGTCTTTGATGGAACATACTTTCTTTTCTATATATACTCTCTGCAGCTCTCCCCTTTCCCTTCAAAACACTGGTATTTCAGCTTCTAGATGCAATCTGTGGAGAATATGACAGAGTCAGGAGGGAATGTACGACTAAGAGCGAGATCACTGAACTTCCTGTCACTTTGCCGATTAACATCTGTGAGACCTGGACAAGTTAATAAATTGGATTTGGATTTCTGCTTCCTTGTATGTAAAGTTAAAGACTTGAGAATTGTAGCCTGTAGGAAATATGTAAGGGACGTAATGAAAGATATCAGGGAAAGGGTAGACGTGTGCTCAAACTCTGTGCTTTGTGCTTTTCATTTTCTTCCTGGCTTCCTTCTTCCCCCACTTCCTTCCTTCCTTCTGCTTTTTCTCTAAGAAGAAAGCCAAGCATAAACACATCTAAGAACCCAGTGTTCCCTCTGTCACCTGGAGTGCCGGTGACCTTTTCATTGCTCTGAAGGATAAAGATTGTGCTCATGTCTTAGGAAATTCAAATGAGTTGACATAGTACACTCAAAGTGAGAAGGGGACTGGGGCAAGAACGCTGATCTTGAGGAAGATCCTTTTCTTTGTATTTGACATAGTTAGAGAAAACTGGAGATAATGTTGATGGTGGGTGTTTTACTTGGATGTAGGGAAGAATTCACATCTGCAGAAGGGTTGTATAATAACAATACTAACTGAGAGGTTTGCATGTATGCCAGCTACCAGTGATGTCATCAGGATCTTTGGCCCACTAAAAACACATGGTTCAGGGAAAGTTTCTGTTTTTCTCAGATTTACTTATAACACATTTCTTCTTTTCTATTTTCATAAATATTTTCTGGACTATTTTTTTTATCCTTTGCCATGTGTTATTTGTATTTATGTATCTGTAGGTACACATACACTTACATGTACACTTTGGGGAATGTAAAAATAATTATGAGTATTTTTGTTTATATATTCATGTTTTTAGTGGTCCCTTTGTTTTTTATTTGTATGTTTTTTTCCTAGAACAAATATCAATAAGCAAGGCATGGTAAAATATGCCTGTCATTCCAATGTTGAGGAGGCTGAGGCAGGAGGAGTTCTAGTTCAAGGCTACCCTGGGTAGTTGAAAACAAATAAACAAACAAAATCCTGGTTTTCTTTTTCCTCTATTAATGAGGTAAAATAGGTAAAAGACAAGATTTAACAACAGACAGAAAGGATGCTTCATGGTAGTCACCCTGAACCACAACTGTGTGTCTAACCATGTTATAAAATTATAAGGACACTTTTTTTGTGTTCTTGGAAAGAAGATGACATGATATTGAGATAATGAGAAAAGTTATATTCTCTCTCAGCATCTTTAAAGTGACATTACCAGCACATGGCAATGTTTTCATGTGAGCCCAAAGGTAAAGAAAGTCTCCTGAGGTGCACTCTGCACACATCTCAGCAACCTGCATCCGATGGAGTTCACCAAGCCCACCAGAAGGTTGGAAGGAGTGGACCTGGAGCAGATACTATATCAGGCTCTAGCCTTGCAATAAAGTAACCTAATGCAAAACTTGGTCTCTTATGGTAGAAATATTAAAGAATATTAACATTATGATAGTAATATTGAAGAATCCTACAGTGACAGTGGTGGGATACAGTTACACCCTGCCCTACCAGTGCTAGTAAGAACAGCAGGCTATGCTGCCCATTCGTCAAAAGGCTGTTGCTTTTGTAGTTTAATAATGTGACAGGTGTGGCAGGTATGGCACTCATAGTGGACCTAGCTCCTCAATGCTAAGCAGAGCTATTTTGCTTCTTTCATCTCAACCAGGGACAATTTGTCTGTCAAAAAAAAAAAAAAAAAAAAAAAAAAAAACAAGAGGAGTGTTGCTGGCATCCCTTGAGTAGAAGCTAGGGACAGTGGCAAAGATGCATATTCTGGTTCCTATGACAATGTTATCAGGTCTGAAACACCAATAGCACTGTGTTCAGAAACTATGTTGTAGCCTTTGCAAGATACTCAAGAAAAAGTAATTGCAATTATGAATATACACGGTATTGTCTGGTGATTCTACCCCAATTCTTCTGCCAGCCCAGCTAGAATCAATTCTCTATTGGTAAAAGGACCAGCTACATTAGTCCACCCTGCTTGTTCTCTAGGAAACCATGCAGCTGTCTTCTGAACTGGGCTGTGGTCCAGTCAAGTATGAACAGACACGTTTTTCTTGTCTCCTTGTGGTTTCATTTTCCTGTTTGTCTGCCTAGCCTAAGCTTGTGTCAGGAACTGCAGGGTATCTCATATCTCAGGCTAGGAAATGGTTCATTGCTTGTTTTCTCAGAGACAGCTGGGCACTTTACAGGATGAGTTCCTACCCCTGACACTAGGACATTTCTCTTTCTCGTCTCCTAGGCAGATGGAAAAATGTAGAAATTAATAATTGATTAGATGAATGTAGTTGTTGGCCTTACACTGAGTGGTACTTGTGTTTTGTTCAAAACCATGGTAATGCCACCGCTGGCTAAGGAGCTGTTGGTGGGTCCTGTGGCTGGAGGAGGAGCTTTTTTTTTCCAGTGGTATAGCTATTGGTAAGCTGTCATGTTCCTAAGTAGGTCCACATCCGGACTCATGCAGGCCATCCTAATTAAACTCAGGGGTTTATAAAAGAACAACAACAGAATAGACCAATTTAAATAGTAGAAGGGGTCTAGAGGGAGTGGTGGGGTGAGGAAGAGTAATGGATGTGAAATATGATCAAAAAACAGTATATGTATGCACGTAAATTGTCAAAGTTTACAACAATCTTTTAAAATTTAACTTTGATGAAAAGAAGCACAGTGGTGAGCCAGGTGTTAAAACATAGAGAGGAGAGAAATCGGACTGATAAATGAGTAAGACACACTTTGACTTCAGTCTTTGAAGTACCTGCTCAGGGCTCATTGTATTGATTAATGTACTGGTTGATAATAGGCTGCAGAAATAGTGTTCACTTTCATTTATTTTCATGTGATCTATAGGGTATAGAGGTTCTGTTTGCATTTATATTCATAATAAGTTTATAGACAACCTGTGCAGAAGAGAAGAAATCAGAATGTATTCTGAGAAAGGCAACTGTTATCAGAGAATAGAGGAAACAGATAGTCTTTCTGGCTCTTGTTAGATAAACCTGTTGCCATGAGCAGCAGGTAGGAAATGATATCAGGACCCACCCTTCTAATCTGGTCTCCTTAAGTGTGAGCAGCAGTGAGCTGCATCTAGTGAGAAGTGGATTATGGGAGGTTCCGTTGCAGTGGCTCCAGCTAAAGAGTTAGGGCATTTCATCTGTCTTGAAGCATCTGAATTTATCCCTCTGGATTAAGTCAGTTTGTCATAGCCTAAGCATGCTGCTGAGGGAATTGAAAACACTTAGTGTGCTTTGAAATCTTACACTAAAATGATTTTAAAATGCCATTTACCTCCTTGATCTTAGTTTTAGGATGTGCATCTTGCAAAAATTCCTTCTCTGACCCTTACAACTGAATCAGTAGTTGCAAAGACAAAGCAAACAAACCAAAATTCATTTTTTGAGAGAGGTTGATTGCTGATCTCAGTGTCTTGTAATTTCATGTAATATTTTTGATGCAGTTTATCATGTAATACTGGTTGGTTCTGAAAAACTGAATAAAAATATTAGAAACAAGATTGGTAGGGTTATTGCAAGTTGACCTGCGGTCTGAGGATGTTGCTTAGTGACAGACCCCTTGTCCAGCATTCCCTTAGGCCCAGGGTTCAATCCCTAGGACCACAAAATAAATATATAAAGCAGGAACTCTGCCATTGTTGTAATCTCATGAAAGAGCTGTACCTAAAGGGACTTCCTACTGTGTACTTTTTTCGTGTAAGATTTTCCTCTTTCCTAATGTAGCTTCTTAGCTTTCAATTAGAGTAGGTATAAATAAATAATTATTCTTTCTCTTAGAAATGAAGTAATTTAATAGCTTTATGAAGCATTCTTTTAATGTTAGTCAAACCCTCTGTCTCCTTCCTAATGGATGCTGTAAAGACAAGTGCTTTATTTATAGATTTAAGGGCATAAATCTAAATGTCTGAATTGCATTGCATTGCATGGACCACTTTGATGTTCCTTTTCCGTTGACAAGTCTTTTCAGAAAATCCTGAGTTTTAGAAAACTGCCATTGCTCCTTGTATTGCTAAAACCAGGACTGCATCTAATCTGAAACCTAGAGTGAGTAAGAAGGGACCAGACCTGCCTATCAGTCAGCACCAGGCGTGTGTGCAGAGGAAGGTCTGTGGAAATCAGGTTGCTATGGGAAAACATAAATTTACCATGAAGACAATAGCATTTCACCATTCATCTCAGACAGGGGAGGCCGCTTCTTTTTAGTGTTAGCCATGTAAAGAGTGAGTTTCTGTAAATAAAGAAATCATGCTACATATTTTGTAATTACATATTTTGTAATATGGAGTATTTTTTTTGTTAAGTAATAGTTATTATGTTTGGTTCTAAACTTAAAAGCTAATGACATTGGAGAAAATACAGAATGTATGTTCATGAATGTTTTCCTAGATGCCTGATAATGAATTAGGCCTTTTAGAAGTAAGTGTGTGTGTGTGTGTGTGTGTGTGTGTAAGAGAATAACCTTGAAAACCTTGAATGTCTTTCCTCAGATGCTCTCCACCTTTATTTTTTGAGACTTAAGGCTGAAACTCATGAGTTCAGCTAGAGTGGCTGACTTATGACCGCAGGGATCCGCCTGTTCTCTGCCACACCAACAACGGGTTCACGTGTACTCTGCCACATGCAGCTTTTTACAAAGGTGTTGGGAATCCCAACTCAGATCCTAATGTTTGCAGAACAAGCACTTTACCACCAGTTTCCCCCCAACTTCATTTTCATGCCATTATAGTTAACTGGTCCCTGGAATCTTTTGCAGGCTACACTGAACGCTTAGGTGGAAAATAAGTAGAGGCGCTTCTTGTAGTCTCAGGGTCTGTCCCTAACCACTAACTTCTTTATATCCCTCTTCTTTAGCGTGGCCAGCTCTTAAGTAAGGAGTCCAAGAAAGAGAAAGCTAACCCTGCTGTTCCTTCTAAGGATGAGATGTAACTATCACTGTAGCCTGTTAATGAGAATTTAGGCCTGTGAGGAAGTGCAATGTGACCCTAAGGCTATTTTTAGAGATGAGCTATCATAATGTTATATGTAAAATTATTCCATCAAAGACAGTTTATGTCAGTTGTGTACTGGTCAGTTTCAGTTTCAATTCCAGGGGTGATCATTCATACTAACCAAGTGGCAGGTAGTCAGTCAGGACTGTACAGTAGGGGTTGCCACCTTGAGCACCCAGCTGTACCACTCTTGATCAGAACTAGGTCAGGCAGTTTGAATTCTTTTGGTGAGGCAGGGATGTCAAATCATCAGAGAAAATTTAGCTTCCCTGGGACAGAATGGTTCTGTCCACTCACTTCATAGCTCTAGGTTGGACAAGCAAGTCTCAAGCACTTAGGGAAAGGAAGAAACCTCCCCAGGATGGTGGTTATCTTGCCACAAAGGGAGAAGCTCTTCCATTCAGTCCTCTTTTCTGATTGTATTACTGCACTGGCTGGTTTTGTGTGTCAGCTTGACACAAACTAGAGTCATCAGAGAGGAAGGAGCCTCAATTGAGGAAATGCCTCCATAACATCCAGCTGTAAAGTATTTTCTCAATTAGTGATCAGTGGGGGAGGACCCAAGCCATGGTGGATGGTGCCATCCCTGGACTGGTGTTTCTGGATTCTATAAGAAAGCAGGTTGAGCAAGTCAGTAAGCAGAACTCCATAGCCTCTATATCAGTGCCTACCTCCAGCTTCCATCCCTGCTTCAGTTCCTGTTCTGACTTCCTCTTAATGATGAACTATGATCTGGAAGTGTGAGCCAAATAAGACCTCACCTCCCCAATTGCTTTTTGTTCATGGTGTTTCATTGCAGCTATAGAAACCCTAACTAGGCAATCACATACAGTGAATGTCCATGATGGCATGAGCAAACAGGAACTGTAGCAATTCCCAATTCTTAATTTCTAATTGTGAATGTCATCTTCTCTTACCTCTCTGTTATATTCCTTGTCTAGCTGGAGCTAGAATTCTACTTCTCCCCCATAAAGTTCCCTGAAATTCCTTTTGAGGATGCCTGGTTGACCAAGGCTCCTGTGAGAGCCTTCGTTTTATTAGCCCTGACTTTCATCAGGTTTTTGTTGCAGAACGTGCCAACAGAAGCATTCACCAATTGAAATGTGCTCTGAGAGATGTTGATGTCACTGTGGAAGAAAATGCACTGGATCCTTCCGCCAGCATCAACGTAGAGAATGAGGACACAGGGGTGGCCTGGCATGAACTGCAGCACAGCCATGCTGGTGAGTGTGACTGTCAGTCTGAGCATGAGTGGCACACAGGGCATTCTCCCAACTCTACAGAGCTGACTGCATTCTGTTGGCCACTCTACTGCTAAGTTTCTATTGCTGGGTAACAAAAGAGCAATGTAATTCCTTAACTTAGCTTTTTACTTTTGACTTCCAAAATCCTATGGATTTAAGTCATAAATCTTTAGGATGGAATAATAATACTTTTCTAACTTAACACTATTCCATCACCTACTCCAGTCAGATTTTCCCCTGCTGTCATCTTAACTATCCTTTTCACAGGCCTTATCTGAATCATTTGTCTTAGAAAGCAGCTGTCTCTTAGCAACCCCTGACCATGCATCCATATCTTTGTACCACAGTTCCTCATGATTGACACTTCTGATGCCTTTTCCACTCTTTTCCTAGTGCTGAAGTCCTGTTGACTACCACTGTTAGCACCTAAGTTCTGTTGACTACCACTGTTGGCATCTATGTCCTGTTGACTAGCACTGTTAGCACCTAAGTCCTCTTGACTACCAATGTTAGCACCTAAGTCCTGTTGACTACCACTATTAGCACCTAAGTCCTCTTGACTAGCACTGTTAGCATCTATGTCCTGTTGACTAGCACTGTTAGTACCTAAGTCCTGTTGACTACCACTATTAGCACCTAAGTCCTCTTGACTAGCACTGTTAGCATCTATGTCCTGTTGACTAGCACTGTTAGCACCTAAATCCTGTTGACTACCACTGTTGGCATCTATGTCCTGTTGACTAGCACTGTTAGCACCTAAGTCCTCTTGACTAGCACTGTTAGCATCTATGTCCTGTTGACTACCACTGTTAGCACCTAAGTCCTGTTGACTACCACTATTAGCATCTATGTGAAAACAAAGACATTGCTGTACTCTCTGTCCTTGCCTTGTGCACAGCTCTAGGATTACATTACAAGCTTACATATATCTACTAGTGTAACTATTGTGCTTATTATATTCTTACTTGAAAGGTAGTTTTTTTTTTCCATTCCTTTCTTTGTATCCCCAGGCAATACTAATAGTAGTTTAAGCAATATTTGCTGGATTGTTGTGTGGTAATAAAATGTTAGTCTATTTTCCATCACTATAACAATATCTTAGATTAACAAACTTCAAAGAATATATTTTTTCTGCATGAGACAGGGTCTTGCTATGAAGCTTTGGATGGCCAGGAACTCTCTGTGTAGATCAGGTGGACTTGAACTTGTGGTCATCCCCCTGCCTGGGCGGGGGGGGGGGGATGTGATGATATTACAGGAGTCCGCCAACATACCTGAACAGTTTATTTTGGCTTATTTTTACATGTCTTAGCCCATTATTGATTAGCCTTGCTCCTTTGGGCATGTGACAGGGCAGTTCTTCCAGGCAGGCACATGCAGATAGGTAAAATACTCACCTCATGCCAGGAAGGGTAAAAGAGAAAGGGGAGGTGGATCACATCCTTCCCAGTAACTCCAAGACTTCCCAAATTTAATAATTTGATTTAATAGTCAAATCCCCACCTCTTCATTAGGTCCTACCTCTTTTAATTTTGTTTATCGCCTAAGTGAGGGGAATTTTGTTCAATGCATGGTCTTTGGGGGACATTTACAACCTAAACTGTGTGTAACCTGTGGATTTCTAGCAAGGTCGATAAATTCATTGCTTTTGCTCTGTAGTCAATCAACTCAAAGCTTTGTTGCGCCAACAAGCAAGTAAGGACAATGAGATGTCTCCACCACGAAGACGAAAAATGTCCCCTTTGGTAAGTGTCACCCTTTGAAGCCTGACAAAAGCATGGGGTTTTGAGCTTTGCTTTATTTTCCTGTGTCATGCTGAGTATGTTGCACTCATTCCAGATTATATTCATAGGAATTTTAGGGAAAAAAACAAAAAACTTCATTTCTGATCATTTGAACTGAGAGAATCTTAATATTTCTAATTTATGTTTTAGGTTCAAAAGTATGAGTAACAGAACAGTTTGAGAAATGTATGCAAATATTAGTGAATATGTAAAAATACAATCAATTCAAAGGCATAATGTTTTAGAAATATTTTTTAGAAGTTCATGTCTATATTTAATCATTTATAGGTTACTAACTGTAATGTTAGACCCCTCCTTTTAATAGTGTTTTATTTAGTGTTATAACTAGTGAGAAACTATGCAGCATTTCTTTGAATTTGTATATACCTTGAAGATGTTATTATAGTTTGGATATCTGTATATTAAACTTAAAGAAAAGCACTAGATGTACTTCCCATCCCAACAATGCCTTAGTTTTACACTCAGGAGATCCACATGCTTCTAATGTGCCATACTGGCTATGAGAGTGCATTTCATGGTATAGTCTGAAAAGTGACTTCTCAGTACATATAAATACACAATACAGCAATACAGCTTAACATTCTTTTACATATGCTCCTGTAAATGAACTTGTGCATTTGTAAAGCAATGGGAAAGAAATTCTCCTGGTGCAGACCTTTTTCCCTACCCTGACTGAGTAATCTCCATCACACTAGTGCTCAGCTCTGTCTTCAAAGTTAATGAGTGCACAGGAACAAGCAGCAGCTATAGCACCTTCCTCTAATTGACTTGAAAGCACTCCATTCACCTTTGCTTTTAAGAGCATTCTAGAAACCAAAGCCAGCAGTAGTAAATGCACTGAATGATAAAATATCTTATTAAAATTATAATCAATAGCTATAAATATTGAATATATGAATGAAGTATATTTATATAAGCAAGAATTAAGCATAAATGTATGTACTGGGAAGAATACAGGGCTCCTGTTACTCTTTCTGTGAGTCTAAGCATGCCCCATATTTCTAGAATGCAGCATGCAGGCATTTCATTCAGTAGTCACACGAACTAGAATTGTAAGGTGGCCACTGCTGCTATGATTGCTAATATTTATATCTTACTTCAAGGATTTCTAAAGAGTTCTAAATATGTCATCTTCCCTAAAGATTACAAAAAATTATAGGACTTAGGCACAGTGCCTTTTTAGCAAGTCTATGACGTACATTGTAGACCTCAGGCCTAGATTATGATTTTGGCCTAGTTCAGGGATCATTCCTTTATATCCAGCCCTATTCTTAGAATGGAAAATACTTCAGTCAGGGATACTGCTCTGTCAATGCCATAAGAATCAACCGAGTGAGAAAGAGAAATTTCTCTTTGCAGGCCTTCCTATCAGGCTGACTGTTGACTGTCATTTCCCTTTTCCTGATTTCTTCTTCCTTAAAAACCAACAGCAGGAGAACTTTTTCTGAAAAGTCTTCTTGGACTCTTTAGGGCAGCTTGTGTGTCTCTTTTAGGGCTTAACCTTAGAGGATCTGTGCCCACAGATGCATAGTTTTGAACTGCAGCAAGATGAGGATCTCACACACACACTGCACAAGCCTAAAACATCCACTCAACAATAACAATGAAATGAAACCCCAAACTCCAGCATTTTTAATGTGCCCTTTAGAAATAGAATTTTGCTTGACTGGCATATATTTGACTTCCAAGCCCCTGTCTGAAGTCTCTTACTTGCTGAACTGATGTGCATTTTCAATTGGCACGCCTCTTCCAGGCAGGGTTTTGAAGAGAACTGTCCCTTATGTCTCAGCATCCCTGAATGGACTGTCACATTGTTAGGTAGTTAAGCAGGTAGCCATTCCAAGACAGTTACAGTATCCTTCTCTGAAAAAGAAACTCCATGTGTCATGTACTTTTAGTAACTGTTCACTTTCTGTCAAAAATAATACTCCTATGCTTATACTTGTGGAATTTATAGGATAAAGACATAAATAATCTGTGTATTCTGTGATCTGGCATACTCTGATTTATTATTCGCTTATGTCACACCAGAACCAAATTACATGTAGAGAGGATAACGAGATGATTCTGTGCTAAATGTGGGGCTACTTAATTTGTTCTTTCTCCCTTAGCAGCCATCAGAATGTGAGGACAATAGTATGCCTACTGTATACAACCTTGTTCCCATCATCAATGACCAGTCTCAGTACATTCATCATTTAGAAGCAGAAGTTAAGTTCTGCAAGGTAAGTTGCTTATTAAGACTTCAATATATGTCAATTATACTTTATATTGAAGCTTGTTCTTAATTTCCATGTTTACTGAGATCTACTGATAAGGGCTGTTCTTATGTGGTACTCTCCATCATGCCACTTCTGATTGTTTAACTCCCTAGCAGTCCTTGTTACTGTTTTGTTGAATGCTGTTGGTGGTCAGCATTTGTAAGGGTCACTAAGTAGCTTTGCCGGTTCTCCCAGGTTCCTGCCTTGAATCCCTGCCCTGACTTCCTTCATTGCTGTATGTAATCAGGAAGTGTGAACTAAATGAATCTTTTCCTCCTCCAAGTTGCTTCTGGTATTTCTCACACACCAGAGACCAAACTAGAACAGTAAGCCTTTACTGTGAGGCCTTGTGTTTATGACTAGAAGTTAGGCTGTTTTTAGTTTGCTTTTACTATAAACATTCTTCCATGGACTTGGCAATTGTCTCCTAGTTGTCTTTAGCTTTCCTTAGAGAATGCTTGAATTCTGTAGATTGAATTTCTCCACTGTTGTATGGGAGCCCTGTATGGTAAAGCACTGGAGGGGACATGGTTCTGTCTAATCCTGAGTCCCTTTCACATTTCATTGAGCCTGAGCCCTGGGGGCAGGAGGGTGGAGAGGACTAGGGGTTGTGTGCTTATTATCCCATCCCATTTAGGCTTTAAGAAAGCCAGGGTCTATATGTCCTTGAAAGTGTTTTCACCCAAGGCAGAGAACACAGGCTCCTGGGCATATTTCACAAGTGCTGCTTTGCCACTTCCTAGCATGTGGATTTATTTCTAGTCTTTACTTTGAGTACTTGTTAGTCATGGAATTAAAACTCTGAGGGGGTCCTTGATCTCCCTAGAGTTTTAAAATCTTAAACTGATCCATACTGAGCTTTGAACCATTAATCAATTATAATTTGGATTTTCCTTTGTAAGTACTGGTTTCTGCAGAGGTTTTTTCCTTGGGTATTGCAATTCTCCAATTTAGAGGAGCATCTTTCTTTGTGACTTTATTTCATAGTGGGTCTAAGAAGAATTTTGATTTTCAGATTGTTAATCTTTTTTATTAGAGAAATTGGGTTGATATTCTTCTCTAAGCTCAATTACATGTCAGATGGAAAACTGGAATTTTGAAACTATTTTTCAAATTACATCATTTAATTACAGGTTTTTTTTCCTCTTAAAGTAGGTAAAAGAAATCTGCATGTTACATAATAGCTTTTGATTATAGAAGTAATGAATATTAGGTTAAGCTTTCATATAATTGAGTTTTGTTTTCAGAAAGTGAGGTTCTACTCAGTAGCTATTCAAGTCATGACTTCTCTAGTTCCTTCTATTACACACTGCTAGGCCAATGATGTACATAAACTAAGAATGCTCAAATGTTAGAGCAGCCTGCTTCATTTGTGGGTTTTCTAGGCACTGGTTTATACACACGGCAATTTCCCTGTCTTTGTCTCTCCTTCCATTTAGTTCTCTTTTGACTTTTGACTATTTGCTTTTCAGCAGTCTGCCTCATTTGGAAGAAATTCTCTTAGATAATCATTTTAAATAAGATTTTTCTCTAGTCCTTTATTCCTTGAAGAAACAAACTTCCAGAAAAAGAACACATTTGTGATATGGCCATCAGCAGGTTTCAACTGTCTGCCAAGTAACCCAACTACTTGATAAAATTACCTAATCTTGGTTTCCTTTTTTGCCTTCATATAATTGTTGTATTCAGGAAATTGATAGTATAAGTCTTCCATAATTTATTTCATGCTAGATTCCATAGTAATTAGCAAATATAAGTATTGCTTAAAATGCTTTAACATATTTTGATTTCTACTTTTTACAGGATGAATTATCTGGAATGAAAAATAGGGTTCAGGTAGTTGTACTTGAGAATGAAAGGCTCCAGCAAGAACTGAAATCTCAAAGACAGGAGGAGACCCTGAAGGAACAGACACTTCTGGATGCATCTGTGAGTGGTGTTTATAATCACAATCTTTATTTTGAATGTTTCTTCCTACCCTTTATCCCAGTTTTTCAACTTTGTCCACATTTTTGACATAATATTGTCATCCACAAAGCTCAAGAAGCATGAAGTTGAGTTACAAAGAAACAGAAACAAAACCAAAAAAAAAAAATCTCATAGTACTTTAAGGAAGTTGATTATTTCATGTTGGGTTACATTCATAGCTATTCTGGGGCTCATATGGATCATGATACACTGGGCCCATCTCTTTGAAGTTTGGTGAAAGTGTGATGCTCAAATTTGCATGGTGCTTCAAAAGTTAGAATCAGCTGTGGTGGGGTGGATTTACAAGTACCCAAGTCTCTCCAGTTTCTCCTCTGAGCATGCTCTTGTGCCGTTTCCATGTGGAAAGAGGAACCTGCAAGCACAGAACGTGTTATATAGGCGGAACTGTGCTACATTTAGAAATGGTTCAGATCTTACTCGGCTCTGTTGACCTTCTCTGGGTTTTTCTTGAGGTCTAAGATCTTAGTATGATGAACAGCATGGTACAGTGAAAAAACTCAGATCTGTGAGGCTGAGACTCAAGAGTCTTCCTCTGTTTTCATTTCTGATGGTATTTACTAAGTAGTTAATGACCCTTGCATGGCTTAACCTCAGTGATAATTAATGATTTGAGAAGCTTTACCCACATCAGGATCTACATTAAAAGTTCTTGGGTTCTACTCTCCAAGAGTCTGATTTTCCTGGTCTGGTTGGGTCCTGAGAATATAAGCTTCAAGTTGCCTATGGCATTCTAGTATCAGTGGCCAAACTTTGAAGAAGAGTGGGCCAAGCTATCTTTAGAATTCTGTGATACAAAGTTCTTGGAATTATCTTTAAATTGTGTATAAATTTAATATCTATTACTTATCAAAGATACTTTTGCATTGGAAGTGTTTTCTCACACTTTTCCCATGGGACACAGCTGATCATAGCCTGTTCTTTGTGAGACAAATTTTACCTTCCATGGGAGAGTTTTTTTTTTTTTTAATTTTTTTATTTATTTTACATACCAACCACATTTTCCCCCTCCTTCCTCTCCTTCTGTCCCCTCCTCCCACCTCATTTTTTCACTCCCTCCTACCCACTCCTCAAAAAAAGTAAAGCTTCCTATGGTAGTCAACAAAGCATGGCATATTAAGTTGAGACAGGACCAAGCTCCTCCCCCCTTCATTAAGGCTGTGTGAGGCATCCCACCATAGGGAATGGGCTCCAAAGAGCCAGCTCATATGTTGGCTCATATGCAGGTATAGATCCTGGTCCCATTAATAGGGGCCCCACAAACAGACCAAGCTACACAGGGCATAGGTCGGTCCCATGCAAGTTCCCTAGCTGTCAGTGTAGAGTCCATGAATTCTTATAAGCTCAGGTCAGCTCTCTGTGGGTTTCCATGGGAGAGTTTTAATGCTTGCTGGTTGTGGCTTACTTTGTCATGGCCTTTGTGGGGTTTCTTTACTTAAGTGTCATTAGTAAATCAGCTCTATTAAGAAGAATATGTGAGAGCCTTGATGACCATCTTATTTTGGTTTTGAAGCTTCCTTGCCTCAGTCTGACTCAGTGTTTCATTTCTAATCCTTGAATCATGTTTGTAAAAATTTGCTGTTGAGAAGCATCAGAAAGCTCACCAGCAGATTGATGATTAATATTCCCATTTGTTTTTCTGTGTTTCCTTTTACATTTGTGACAAATTACTTACCCTTATAATTTGAGTATCAAATTGAAAAAGACATACCACCCTATAAAAAGTATTGGGAATATCCCATTTTAAAAAAAGTCTTGTGCTTTTCTTAAAACTAATCAGTGAGTCAATTATTCATGGTTTTCAATATTTATACAGTGGCAAAGAAGGGGAAAAGAGGAAGTGAAGTGAGAGGAAATCAGGCAGACAAGTGAATAAGAGGCCAGCAGGAGTGAGCAATGCATGGGGGAAGGAAGTGATGGGCACAGCACATCTGCCTGGCAGTCTGAGCACAGAGTATTTGCCAAAAGAAAACTACAGCCATAATGTGAGAATAAACATGGTTCCAGAGAGGTTTTGCTGTCGGTCTTACTCATTCACATAAAATGAAAAGTGCTGCAAAGATTGAAATGACTGCTGTAGGTATGCTACTGACACTCTAGTCTTCTGGGTCTCCACTCTTACAGAACAGTTGTTCCTACTTTTTGCTTGGATAAATAAACAGATGTTTCACCAGTGCATACTGTATTCCAGTCAAGATGAATAAGACTTTTTAGGGAATCTTAACTGTTGGTAGGTTAAGTATGTTTTTCCTAAGGGAGAATAGACTCATCATTATTTTTTTAATTTTTATGTTCATTGGAGTTTTGTCTGCATGAATACCTGTGTAAAGATATCAGAAGCCCTAGAACTGAAGTTATAGGCTCAGGAGTGAGATGCCACATGGGTGCTGGGAATTGAACCCATGTCCTTTGGAAGAGTAGCCAGTGCTTTTAACTGCTGAGCCATCTCTCCAGCCCCTAAGAGTAGGCTTTTTTAGTGATGCAAATGCTAACACTAAATCTCAGAGATGCTTTTGGTTAATTGAACTTAGATATCCCAGTGTTGTACAATGTTCTCTTTTGTGAATAACTGAAATGGTGACGTTTGTCCTGAATGTATGGGTTTGCCAGGCACTGTATCAAGCCTGTTATTTATCTTGTATTAGTTCAGCTTCACAATAACCCTATAAGGCAGGTGTTATTTGTATTTTTCAGAGGAGAAAGTTAAAATATATAGTAGTTAAGTAGCCTTAGCCTAAGTAACTGGTATACTGTCCCAGAACTGGAAAATGGTAAAGCAAGGACTGGAGTCCAGGACTGTCTGGCTCCTGAGCCTATTCCCCTAACCTTGTATTGTGCTGCCTGTCTGTAAGAAATGCTCATACCACACAAGACCTTATTGACATGAGATTCTTCTCAGAAAAGAGAGGAGTCTTTTCTGTTTTTGATTTTATCTCTGCACTTGCAAGCTAGCCAACAAGAGTTGGAACTTTTGGCCTAGTTGATGACCTAGATGTTATAAAAGAAAAATGGTGATCATATTTTATAACTAAAACTGTATAGGGCTGGAGAGATGTCTCAGCAGTTAAGAGCACTGACTGCTCCTCCAGAGAACCTGGGTTCATTCCCAGCACCCACATGGCAGCTCATCAGGAGAAGTGAGCATGGGGGAAGGAAGTGAGGGCACAGCACATTTGCCTGGCAGTCTGAGAACAGCATATTTGCCAAAAGAATGTGCACATGGACATGCATGTAGGCAAAATCCAGTGTACAGAAAATAAAAATGATACATTATTTTAAGGAAACCATAAAACTAAAGTATACATCATTCATTTTTAAATCATTTTCAAATTCTCATGAAATCTCCTTTCCAGGAAAGTTTTCCCTGTACTTAAAAGGTATAATAATATTGAGATATGTTGCTTATTAGAAAATTTGGTACTTCCTCAAAGATTTAGATGGGCATAAACATTCTGAGTCATTTTCTTTATGTTTCTGACAATAAATAAGATGTTTTCAATGGTTTTAAGGATTTAAAAAATGTCAAAGTTTTTAAAAGCTATCTGTAAAAGACAAGCACTTCCTTCTAAATAATGATAATATTTTACATCATGAGTCAGCATCTGTAGTCTACATGTTTTAGCCAGTTTGTCTAGAGGAGATTAGTGCTCTGATCCTCTGGTGACTTTGAATATGAGCAATCTTGCAAGAGTCAGCCCTACTTACACAATAGGTTGTAAACTTATTGCCCCCTTGATTGTTCAGTTTCCTCTTCTCGCCCCTGCTGCTTTACCTCTGGTAACAGTGAGCTTTCTATGAACACTCCTGAGGGCACTCTGCTCATTCCCACTCCAGGTTTTCTTGGGAGGCTCCCCCTAAATGGTACATTAGGACCAAAACCTTTCCAGAAAACTAATTTGAATTTCTGATTCCTCTCAACATCCTTTCTCTATTTTGGCTTAGTTCTCATATGGGGGTATTGCAATGTCTTTGAGAAGAAATGATCTTTTCTTGGCTTAAAGAGCTATGGTCTTGGGAAACTCAATGATCACCAAAGCCACCAAAAGCCAGTGGCTTTCAAGTTCTTGTCTAGCAAATTAGAGAAATGAAGATCACAGATCATAGAGGGTCATTTATTATAGGTTCATAGGTGGGATGGAGGGGAGGTGGGAGAGGTAATAAGAGAGAGAGAGAAAGAGAGAGAGAGAGAGAAATACTAAGCTCCTATATAGCAGGAGGAGTTCTACATGAGGTGCCATCACATCAAACTTCTGGCCTGGGGCTTTTAAAAGAACTTCCTGCAGAAACTGGCATGAGGTATGAGGAGGAGGAGGGGGCCAAGATGGAAGTGGAGTTGACCTTACTTGTTTCTCTGGCATACCTGTAGCCCAGAACTTACCTTTTAGACTCTTAATTGTCTGCTTTGGTGTGTGTGTTCCCTTATTAGACTGGTAAACCCCTTGGAGCTGAGCTTTGTCATTTTTACTTTTGTCTTCCAAGTTATTAGCACAGTTGTTTTTAGCATAATACACATACACATGTATATACTTGTATGCATACAGTAGGTGCTATACACATGCCTGCCCTAAACTGAGCTTGCAAGAGACTATGGAGTAGAATTAGCACTGCTTTAGAATGCCATGGGCCACATTACAGATTAGTGTGGCACTGCTGCATATATTGAATGTCTGGGGGCCTCCCCTTCTTTATAAGTATTGCATCCTTTGGCACTTAGCAAAGGATCAGGGATTAATGGTTGTTCTAAATTAATTTAAATATGGTAGTCCTTACCACCTGAATACATTTCCCAGGTTTTTAAATTGCTTATCCCCTTGAATGTTGAAAGCCAGATTTTAAACTGATTATAGGTTCATCAAAGTTGATCAACTGTGAGCCAGCATTTAGTACTATTTTTAATGAAGAACAATTACCTGCCTTACCTTTACTTTTATGGTGATGTGGATTTCTGTTCCCACATGGTAATGGCCTGTTTGCTTATGACACATTTTTGCTATGTATCCTGTTCCCCGCTACTCCTTTTTTAGTCCCTGACATGTGTGATACACGTCATTTCTATTTGCTGCCACATGTGTTCTATTTTTCTTTCCCTTTTTTGATACTGAAAATGGTCCCCAGGGCCTTGCATTAGGCTCTATGGAATATGGAAAATGAAAGTCAAACTGAGACTGAGCTATCAGTTTTCCATGGAGAATGGTGACTACATAGGCATCCAGGCATCTCTGTGGATATTTGGGTTATTCTCTACACATGTGGGCTCTTGACCCTGGACTACCCATTTCCAGCATAGCCCTAATAGCATGAACATGCAAAGTAATGCTTGACTTAGAGCCTCAGCATGTGCATTTCCTCATGGGTGGGAACCATGGTTCCATTTATAGTCTGTGTATTTATTTCATGTTGAATGCCAGCTGCAACTAATGGCGTATTTTATTTTAGGGAAACATTCAGGATTCTTGGATTAAGACAGGAGAAAGTTCTAGGGTGGATGAAGCTACAAAGAGACCATTTTCTCATGGTGATGCTGAAACTGGGAAAACTACATCCACTGGTGATGCTGAAAAATGGAAGTTAGAGCTGGTGAGTGTGGGCTGGTCTTTTGTTATGCATCTCTTTTCTTTTTAGTCTCTTGAGTTATACCTGGAAGCAGACTTGTTGGATCATATGGTCATTCTTCGCCTTTACCCTTTGCTTATTAGCGCTAACCATTTCAGCCACTCTTCAACTCAACAGCACTTTGTTCTGCCTTCCCACATCCTCTCTCCAACCCCTGCAAGGGATCTGTTGTGTCAGTTGTTGTATTTTTTCTATTCTAGAGTTTTTTGGGGTTTTTTTTTTTTTTTTTTTTTTTTTTTTTGTTGTTGTTTTTGGTTCCTTTTTGGAACTTCCCCTGCTTTCTCTAGTTCTTTGGCTGCCTTCAAGGCAGTTGCTTAAAGCTGTTTCGTTAGTAAGTCTGATGTCTGTGGGTTCTCAAAGGTGTCTTTTCTATTTATCCTGTCCATGGCCCTATGGGTTTTTGTTTTCTTTTGTTTTAATTTTAACTTATTATTTAATGTATGGATGCAGGCCAGAAGAGGGCACCAGATCTCATCACAGATGGTTGTGAGCCACCATGTGGTTTCTGGGAATGGGACTCAGGGCCTCTGGAAGAGCAGCTAGTGCTCTTAAACTCTGAGCCATCCCTCTAGCTCCAACCCTATGTTTTTAATCTCCTTTATTCCCAAACCTTGCAGGCAGTTGAGTATATTCCTATCTGTGTTCCTTGCCTCCCGCTTTCACTTTGCCACCTGACAGTACAGTCAGCCTGCTCTTTTAAGGTAGCAAGTGAGCTCCACCCCAGAACAGTTTTGATAGCACATGTACCCATTCCACAGGCTCTTCCTTAACATTTCTAACATTGACACAACTTAGATACATCTGAGTGCTATGGCCCATGATTTGGCTCTGAAAGAGCACTCGTGTAATTATTCCATGGATCAGGATATTTTTAACCACTCTTGTGCTCCACGGGCTCTGCTGTGCTCCCTGCCATTCCCTGTCTCTCCATCCCTGTAGCTTGTCACCATCCTGACTCTTATGAACATTTGCCAAGAATGCATTACTGACCATTGTACTTGATTCTTGCCCATTAAAGAAAAGATATATAAGATGGACTTTTATAATGGTGTATATTCTTTTGTACACATTGTCTGTCCCCATTCTCCCCACCTGCCCTCCCCTTTTTCTTTTAAATTTAGTTTGACTTTTAGAGACAGGGTCTCATATAGCCCAGGATGGCCTTGAACTCACTGTGGTGCCAAATCTAGCTTTGAACTCAACCTTTCTGCCTCTACTTCTCAAGTGCTGAGATTATATGTGTGTCCCACCAATTTATCTTTCTTTCCCACCACTGTATTTCTATTCATGTTACTACATGTGGCAGGAGCCTATCTGTTTTCATTGAGGGGCCACTAGATGAATGTACTACGATTGACTCATCTAGTGTTGATGGATATTGGTGTTGTTTCTAGCTTGGTGTCCCTGTACTGCTGCAGAGGACTTTCATTGTGCCTGTGAAGGTGCATCTCACACATTTCTATGTATAGGTCCCTGAGAATGCAATTCCTGGTCTTAGGCTATGTCAGTGTTCAACTTGGACTGAATATTAATGGCTGTCTTCCAAGCTGTTCTTTACCAGTTTACACCCTGTCAGCGGCACAGGCATGATCCTGACATTCTAAGGCCTTCTTCATATGCTACCAGCAATTGGGGGGGGGGTGTTTGTTTTTTATGTGCTTGTCTGTTTCAAATAAAGTCTCTCTATGTAGCCCAGGGTGGTCTGGAACTCACTATGTACCCCAGGCTATTCTTGAGTTATGACAAGTCTCCTACCTCTGAGTGCTGCTTCTCCTTATTTTATTATATTTATCTGATACATTGATTTGGGGGAAGTTCTTTATATATTCAGGTACAAGGCTTTCACACATACACACACAGTACATACACATGTTTTACTATGTATAGTAAGTTTGTAGTCTCATTTTTTAGTGAGTTGCTTACTTTTTAATCCTTCTGGTAACTAATTGCTTGCTTCATTTATAAAGATTTCATTGTTTATTCATCCAGTAGTGCCTTTTGTGTGTTCTTTAAAAAGTCCCTTCCTACCTAGACACAACAGTATTTTCCTAAAGTGTTTTCCAGAGAGTATAGCTGGGCCTTTTACATTTAGATATGCAATCTGTCCAGAATTCATGTTGGTAAGTGACATGAAGCACACAGATCACATTTTATTTTTCCACTATGCATTTATCAATATAACAGAGTTCTATTTATTGAAAAGTTAGTCTTTTTCATTCATGATTTACTTTCTGCATTTTGTTTTTGTTGTGCTGAGGGTTCATCCCAAGACCTTGCACATGTAAGGCAAGCATACTCTCGTGAAGCTTCCCCTGTATCACACACCTTCCCCACAGGTTAAGAGTGGCTCTGCTGTTTCAATGAGCTCATACTATGCTGTCTTGATTATAACTGTGTGAGTCTGGTAGGCCATGACTCCTAAAACTTTATTCTTTGTCCAAAAGAATACCTTTACTATTTTGGCCTCTTGCACTTAACACGTACATTGTGGAAATTGATTGAGATTGTCTCTAGGGTATGTGTCATTTGGGAATTAATATCCTTATATAATACCATTTCACCCATCCTTGTGAACAGCATACAACTCCATTTATTTAAATCATCCTTTCTTTTGTCCCTTTGAGGTACTAGGAATCAAAACATGGGTTATGCCCAGCTAGGAAAAGCACTGGATTGCTGAGTTGTAATCCTGGCCCTTGCATTTCTTGAAACAGGATCTTGCAGTATATAGCCCAGGATGCCCTTGAGCATATTCTATCCCAGGTTGGTCTAGAACTCAGAATCTTCCTGCCTGGGTCTCTGGAGTTCAGGGCACTCAGTTTCACTGAGTAGAGGATTTAAATATTTTGCATTAGAACTAGTCCTGATGTGGTTTGGATGTTATCATAAATGACATCTATTTTCATGTTTCATTTCCTAACTCCTCACATGATACAAAATTTACAGATTTTGCTATTTTACTAAGTGGTACTTTTTAAGAACTAGCATTAGAATGATGGAATTTCTCCTTTCCTCCCCTTTATTTTTAACCAGTCTGTATCTTTGTATCTGAGGGGAGTTTCCTTGAAGAAACACAGTTGGGCTTCAGCTTTCAGCCATTCTGATGTTAGTGTTATGATGGATATCTGTGCCATTGTTAATTAATGGGATTATTCATACAGTTGGTGTTCACTCAATGTGATCACCTTGCTTTTTGAGTTCTTTTTATTGTCCTATTGCTTATTCTCCTTTTTGGTCATTGTTTGAATTATTTTTGTGAGTTCCTTTTTCTCTCCTTAATTGATCTGAAATATCTAGCACTAGCATTCACTTTATTACTCAATTCAGAATCCTTGGATTATTTTTAGGGTCTTTTCTTATCTCACATTGAACCAATTATAAAAGTAGGTCAACCCGACTCTTGAATACTTCTATATTAAAAACTTCTTAGTGTTTATTGTTGGGTTCCTCTGGTTCACAGTTTGACCTCTTATCATCTCTTCCCCCTTTATTCTGATGTGTGATTTAATCTGATAAAAAGTTTCCATGTATGTCTAATTCCTCAGCTACATGGGTTGGATCTATAAATTTCTTAACATTTATATTATTCCCATGCCCCAAGCTTTCCTGTTTCTCCCATATCCAGCCACTCTTTCGCTTAAAATTTTACCTTCCAGTGCTATGGTCAGGATGCCCAAAGATACAGTGTGGTATCTTTAGAATCCAGTTTCCCACATCCTGGAAACCATCCTTCAAGTCTTACTCCTGCTCTGGGAAGGCAGATGGACTTCTTTTAGCTGTGTTCACATATAACCAAAACAGTGGAGTTAGAGTGAGCTGGTAGAAACACGGTTAGAGTGAGCAGATGGAAACGCCCCTGTAGCATTGTTCTTCCTGTGGGTAAAAGAGAAAAACTTGAGTTAATATTTAGAATTCACATTTTTCTTTTTTATGAAAACAAGACATGGCAAAATGTGCTTTTCTGCCTGTTCCACAGGAGAGGCTGAAAGTCACATATGAGGCGAAGAGTGACCTTCTGGAGTCTCAGTTGATGCTTCTGAGGTAAAAGAAAAATAACAATAAATTATCCACTTACAGATAGAGTCAAAACATGGGTTCTTGAGAGAGACTTTAATGTTTGATGAACTGTTACTAACATTTGCATTACTTGATAGCATTTTATATGTGGTACAACAACAAAGCAATCACTCTGTGTTTCAGGACTGTGGTAAGAATGAATAAGACCGCACACATCAACACTACCAGTGGTGGTAAAAGTTCTCTCTGATGCTCCTTTTGAAAGTACTGTATTTTCCCCTGGACATTGCCTAGAATTTTTCTGCTTTCTTTTAGGAAGGACTTAGTTGAATATCAGAAAACCTGTGAGGATCTTAAAGAAAGACTGAAGCATAAAGAGTCTCTTCTGGCTGCTGGTGCCTCCAGCCGTGTGGGTGGCCTCTGTTTGAAATGTGCCCAACATGAGGCTGTTCTTTCCCAGACCCATAGCAATGTGCATGTCCAGGCCATCGAGACACTGACTAAGTAAGTATGCATTGCGTCTGGAGCCTTTGCCAGCAGAGGGTTTTGTGTCTCTCTAAGGGAGATGTGTCCTTTGATCCCATGCTAAGTCACACGAGGTCAGGCTCCAAATAACCCTGATTTTAAATGATTCCTTTATTGTAGCTTTCTTGAAGAAAGTATGGCTATGGTCTAATCTGCCAGCTATGGGTAACCGTACCACTTAGTTCAAATCTCACTGGAAGTAAGAGAATTGAAATAGATCATCTTCACGGGTCTCCAAGTTTAGTGACCCCAGCCTTAACGCTGCTCTTCACAAGACCCAAGATTCCTTAGATTTCACCATGTCTTGGATTTGCCACTGTGGTTTAGGCAGAATGGACCATCAGCACTTCTTTATAAGAATATTTTGAGTTCATGCAAGAGGGATGCAGTTGTCACAGTACTAGCAGATGAAGGCTGACTACGGAGCGATTATGGAGGAGCTTTTGTCCAAGTTCTGGCCCAGGCTGAAATACTACAGTCCTCCGTGTACAACTCTTGTTCTAGCTTCCTTTGGAAGAAGACCTTTTTCTCTGTAAAATTTCATTAAGTAGAAATTGAAAATTATTATTTATTATAATATAATCCAGTGCAGGTTTGTAGTCTGTGCTTTCCTTTGCTGATAACTCTTGTCCCCTCTCTGCTCTCCTCATTCTAAAAGCCCAGGCAGCATGCATCAGAGTATTCCCTCACTAAACCCCGCCCTCATGGTCCTCAGTTGACTTCACAATTTCCTCTGTAGTTCTAGACTATATCATGTACACAGGAAGGCAGCACTGATACTTTGTTTATTGCTTCAGCTCTGGGTGCTACCAGAGTATCTGGCTCAGGTGGGCACTCGGTGTTTGTGCTGAGGTAGATGTTGAGTGCTTAGCAGTCAGAGATCCTATAGTTGGAATGGTGTGTAAACTTGGAATGACTGATCATTATAGACAGACAGTTTGCTGTCTTGACCTATATACAAATTGCTTTATTGCTCTGTGCAGTTTTCTGCTATTTGGAGTGGCCGGGTGGTGGGATATGCGCCTTTGTGGGATTTTTACCAAGACAGCTTAAGTTTATGAACAAGGGCACTGAGTTCTGAAGCAGACTGCCTTGGATTCATAGTCTAGTTTTGCTGTGTAATCTCACTAAAGTTACTTAACCTCCCCGAGCCTCTCCTCATTTTTCAAACAATAGTAGTTGTTTTGAACAGTAGTTGAGATGGTATCCACACAGTGCTTTATAAATTCTCTGCATTCTACCACTGAGTTCTGTCTCGACACCAAATACTAATGACCCTGTGAGCTTCACAGAGTGGAAGAAGGACTAATGTCCTTCCTGTGATGTCCACACATGATCAGTGTATGATTTCTGTACAAAAGCGGAACTGTCAGGAGGGATAATGGATGGTTGAGATCAGCAGTGTTGGTCTTGATTTTGTAAATAATATATTATGAATTGTTAAAAAAAGATTTTACATATATTCAATGAAACAATTATCCTTATTAATATGTATAAAATAGATTTTCAGACCCAAGTAATATATAGTGAATGCTTGTTATTTGACAAGGGCTGAGCTAGGCATTTGAAAAACATAGCACCCTTTCATCTTAGAATGCATTTTGTATGGCAGGTAATATAACTCTGCTCAGAAAAATTAAATTTTTCTATTTGGAAAACAAAAAAGAATAGGACTGTACTTTACTGATATTTTTCTGTTGGCATAGCGGCTGCACATGAATTATTGATATTTTAATTATTGTCTGCTAGGCCTCAGGGACCCCCAGTCAGCTCCCTGCCAGTCATTCAGGCCTTGGCCAGGAGGGCTTTTGGCCTTGCAGCCCCAGCTCTGCTGTGACATGTAGGTTTAAACTAAGTCTCTGTTCTATTTACCAACAAAGACTGGGAAGTCAGATGTGGAGGCAAAAACCTGCTAGATGAGAGAAGCCAAGAAGCAACCAGCTGGATTTGCTTTTTGGCCAGAGATCCAGCAAGAGACACACCTCTTCACTCGTCCCCCAAACAAAAAAAAAAAAAAAAAAAAAAAAAAAGTGCCCAACTCTATTCCCGCCCCTTTCTTCCTTTGAGTCTTCTCTGTTCAAATTCCTGGCTTCTCTAAGGCTAATTCCAGTCAGCTGGTCTCTGGCTCTGCCCCCTGCTTCAAGGTTAACTTTATTAACAGTCTTGGAGTGTCACAGTGTGATTAAAGATCCCGAAACACTTTACAAAAATGAATTATGTATAAAGACCCACATGTAATTCAGGCTATGAAAGTATTAGAAGTAAAAGGACAACCTTGAACTTGTCTCCTAAGCATGATATGCAAAAAGAGAAAGTCATAAACAGAAAAACAATTATTCCCTTGACCCATTAAAAAGTTAATTCATGGGCACTGGACATGGTAGCCCATACCTGTAATAACAGCACTTGGTAGACTAAAGTAGAGGATCTAAGCCAGCCTAAACTATACAGCAAGATCTTGTCTTACAGAACATAAGGTTGAATATGTAGCTCAGATGAGGGATACTGATTCAGCATGTCCAAGGTTTAGTTCCCAGCACTGTAGAATAATTTTAATTGATTAATTTAATTTACTTAAAATAAAATATTGCAAATTACAGTAAAAGACTGGGAGAATGTTTTCATGTATAACTAATAGTGGAGCATGATAATTTTTGAAATAGAAAATGGCACACTGACTAGCTGCACTGTGAGTAAAGAGAAGGAATTTGTGAGAGAGGAAGTTATTGGTATATAAGATGATGTTCACTCAACTTATACTTAAGGAAATTAAAGTCAAGAAGCAAACTAATCCATCTGACTGGTGAAGATAAGTGATTGATGGTTGCAGTGAGGCCATGATTAAGCAAATGTTTTTCATTCACTGCTGGTAACATTGCGGAACTAGCCTAGCCACTTTGGCAGGGTAATGTAGCTCTATCCATTGATATTTAAATTATGCGTTCTGGTTTCCTGTGAAGAAAAGCTCATGTGTGCTCACAGTAGAGCATGCATAAGGAATGTTTTTGGAGCACTATTTGTAATGGTGTGGAAGCCTGGGTAGCCTCCAAAGAAATCTAAACTGTGGTTGTGTCAACTATGATGATTTATGGACAGTATTAAAAAAATAAAGAGAATTGAAGACTGGAGAGATGGCTCCGCCAGCAAAGCTGCATGGTGCAAGTTTGATGGTCTAAATTCCATCTGTGGGCCCATATAATGGAAGGGGAGAACAGATTCCTGCAGACTGTCCTCTGATCTCCACAGGTGTACCATGGCACATGCACATGTAAAACACACACACACACACACACACACACACACACTAGATAAAAGTATGAAAAATTAAGGTGGTGTATGCATACCCACACACATAAAGCAGTGTAGAGGATACTTGTGAACTAATGTGAGACTAACTCCAAACTAAATAAAACACAAAGCCATTTAATTTTCTAGGTCAAATACAGTATTAGATATTTTCCCTAGATTCACAGAAAAAAAATTGAAAAGACTAGACACCAGATATTTAACAATGGTTAAAGTATATTTTAAAAAGCCATTAGAATTCAATATTTGTTTCAAATAGTCTTTAATACTAATTTTACATGGGAATATTATTTAAAAAAAAGATTTTATATTAAGTAGATTTTCTAAGGCAGTTTAAACTAGTTGTCTAGTAAAAGCAACCAGCAAATAAAATGAGGTATAGGCTCTGTTACTTTAGCTTTCTAGGGTGTGAAAAAAAAGTGCACAGAGGCTACAATGTCTGCAGTGATTGAAGGTCTGGCTCTCATTTAGAAGTTAGTTTGTCAGTTAGGAATTCTGCTGTAACTATCATAAGATTGACCTCAGCCTCGGAAAGGAAATGCCAAACTGCTTAGTTCCCGTTTCTGCTTTGTCAGAAGTGGGCTTCGTGCTCTGCTTTAGTAACAAACAGGGTGAGAGGTCTCTGCTTTTATTATTTTTAGGAGTTTTGGAGTTGTGTGGACCCCTTTGTCTAACCTGGTATGTAGACCTTTCTGACTTATTAATGCTCAGAGTTGCCTACTGAGCATCACCCCAGCTCTGAAAAGCACCCTGCATGTCTCAGGTTTGGATTTCTAGCTTTGTGTATTTGAAGTCGGTACATGCTACATGGTTTTAGGTAAAATTTGAAAATTGGACCTTAAGTATGATAAAGCCAAAGAGTTTGTTGGAGCCTTTTTGAACTATGGCCTTGTGAAGCTGGTTGTCACTTGACTCAGTTCCATCCTGAGTGCTTGGATGTATGATTCAGGAGTGACTTGTGTGACAGGAGGGGATGAGGCATAAGACAAGGACCAAACCTTCCATCTGTTTGTGGTGTTTTATATTGGGCTTATGGGGATTTGTAGTGAGTAGCTTAATATTTGTTTTTTAAGTTGATTTAAATTCTTCTGCAGTATCTTTTACTCAGGCTGCTTTGTGCTGTAAAGTAGGTCAAAGTAATATTTACTTCTTTCATTCTTTTTCTCGGTGATCAAAATTTAATGGTTATCAAGGTGGTAGTACAAAATCCTGGCTACTTTTTTTTTTTTTTTTTTTTTTTTTTTTTTTTGAGAAATGGCTCCCATAGTGCTGTCCTGGGATTTTGGTCCATTTTGTGATCCTTGGCAGGCTTCTGTCCAGTTGGCTTTGATTTGAAAGACTGCAGCAGGGAGCTTTCCAAAAATGGGAAACAAAGAAATGCTTCATCAGCTTCCTGGACTTTCCCTTAAAACCAAGAGTAATAATGCTTATTAAAACTATGTTTATTCTAAATGCTTAAAATCGACAGTGGCATTTCCTAGTTATTCCATATTTCAAGATAAAGTTGACACACATCTCCTAAAGCAACCCTGTTGTTTGTGTCTTAGGCCCATGGCTTTACCTGGGTTTTCCTTGCTCTGAATGTTGCATGGAGTTCTCAATGCACTACAGTCACCAGAGAGTGCTAACACAGACCTGTCCTTTCTGGACTCCTGCTTGTGTTCCTGTGAAATAGTGTGAGCTTAACATTCTATGGCTGCCCTGTTTCCTCAGGACACTCCCTGGCAGAGTGCCTGAAGTCACCCATGTGCTGTTTTTAAGTTCTTGCAGAACTTTTCCTTGGAAGATGTCACATGTGTCTGACCCTCTGTGAGAGCATCCTTGGGCCTAGCACTAGATTTGCCCTCTGGACACAGCTTCAGGAGCAGGAGTGCAGCTGCCCAATAGTCCACCTGGCTGCCTGCCATGGTGACACCATATGTCCAAAGAACAGATAACTAGTAGTCTTATCTAATGCAAGAGGCAATGTGGGGTGAAAAACAGGAGTTCAGCTAAGAAAGTGTCAGGCAGATGAAGATGGGGGTTGAAGCAAGCAGGGCTTCCCACTGACAAGCCTGGACCTAGAGCTCTTTGTTTCCTGAGTATCCCCTGTTGGGTAAATGAGGGAGTTGAAACACAGCCAAAGGCAAGATGCAGCAGCTAAATGTAGGGTCCTGAGCTGCCAAAATTGCTTTCCATAATCTCCCATGGACCACAGTAGGAAGCTGGAGTGGGTCAGTCCAGTCTATGCAGATGTTCAGTTACTCTCCTGAAAGAGGATTTAATGAAACATCTGTGTTTGGGTTCATCTTTAGTTCTGTGGCTTAAGAGTAGATGAATCTACATTCTGAAACATCTTAAACTAGAAGAACTTTTGCTTTGCTGTTTAAATAATAACGATCTTTTCCATTTAAATCTCACAACCCAACTGACAGGGAACTTTCTTTTGGTGTCATGTCTGAAGAACTCCTGTTGGGGCTTTCCATATTTATACACTTGAGCTTTTTCACATTTTTTTTTTTAATAGGGAAAAGTGGTAGGCTCAAAAGCAGGTAAAACTGTTGTAAAGTTTTTAAAATTTTGGTTTTTAATTCCACAGTGATTTATTGTGTGTGCATATATGTGTGTGAGCACACATGCATGCCATGGCTTGCATGTGAAGGACAGAGAGTTGGTTCATTCTTTCCACTGTGTAGGTCCTTGGGATCCAGCTGAGCTGGTCAGCCTTGACAGCAAGTGTTTTTACCCAGTGAGCCATCTTGTAGGGCATATATGTTTGTTCTTTTTGTCATTTATTTTGTTGAGCATCTACTGTGAGACAAATACTACTCTTGACAAGAGCATGCCCCCAAAATAAATAAGTGAATTAAAGATGTCTCCTATGAGAAGCACATCTATTAGACCTTGGCCTTGTGGTATCTTCTAACTGGTTTCCACACACTGAAGTGATTGTCATTTTCTTTGGAGCTGGGAAGCTAACTTTGTGATACTGTAGTATCAGGGCAGATAGAAGATGCTGTTGGGTTATGACTTTTGCTATTCAGTACCTCTCAGCAGCTTAAGGGAGGTGACCACATGATTCTCAAACTGACCTGTGATCCCTAAAGGATGACTTTCTAGAATCATAGGTCCTTTTGGGTTGAATATCCTATGAAGCTAGTCCCCACTTTATGTTAGACATTTTTTGTTTTTGCAACTCAGATAAGTACAAATTCTATTTTGTTTGCATTCAATTTATCTTTTACTCTAGAATAATTTACTCTGCTTTTGAGTCTTTCGCTTTCCTACATAATTATTGTGCTTCATAATATTCAATCAGAACAATTAACTGTTTTTTATTTCATTTAGAATAAAAAATTGAGTAATTTACATTAATTTAAAACAAATCAGGAAGTTCTAAAGGGGAAGCTCATCATAATTCCATGAATTTCATGCTATTTGTAACATTTTTTTTTGTTAACAAAAGGAGCTTTTATGAATGTGTTCGGCATTACATGTTACTTAAAATATGGCTGTTTTCCAAATACCACAAATAGCTGAAATTCTCATCTTCAGGAGATTTGTGAGAAGGAGTCATTTGTTAGTTTAGAAGAGTATTCAAATTCAGTATTTGCAATCTTCCAAACAGCTCTTGAATGTTTGCCTTTCTGTTTAATCCCCGTTGTTTCTTCTCTGACAGTTTGGAATCCAGCAGTGGGGAGCAATGAGCTTTTATTGCATTGGTTTTGATACTGCATTGGGAAGCTGGTCATCTTGACAGTGTACATGATGGCATATGTACAGTGTAGCATGCTTTGCGTTTTGCTTTGTATGTATAGAAAATCAATCACCTCATCTTTCTCTTTGGCCCACTGGACATGTAATTAATTTTTTTTGCATATGCCAGCTTGTCTTCATAGGCACCACATGTACCCAGGTGGCTGTGTCAGACAGAAGGTGTTGGATCCCGAGAAACTGAACTTACATACAGCTGGTTGTGATGTGGGTGCTGAATCCAGATCCTCAAGAAAAGCAGTCTCTTACCATAGCTGTCTCTCCAGCTCCCTCTACTGGAGGTTTTCATACAGTGATAAATTCCAAAGCATCCTGAGAAATTGATTTGGAGTTTATTTAACCCATGAAACTTGAGCCTTACTATTTTACATGCCTCAAAATTAGTATTCTGCCTAATGCTGCCCCCAACAAGAATCTTATCTTAGTGGATATGTGAAACTTGTTTAGGAGTGGGTGAAGCTTGCTCAAGATCAAAACCAGTAGCCAAGATTTTGTTAAATTTGAGTGCCATATATATAACTAGAGGATTTGATGGACCCATAATACTGCCCACTGAAATAAAAACAAGTGAACAAAATACAGTTTTTCATAACTAGATAAGGGAATTTAATTGGGTAAGAAGGAAGAAATGAGGCCCATGAGAAAGATAGAAAACGAAGGATTTGTATTAGTTCAAGCAAGCAGGAGTAGATGTCATGGCACTGCCTCTGCATCACACCCCTGCCACAGAGGGGGACCGGGTTTCTCTTCAGATGTTGTCATTCTTTCCCATGCAGCTCCTTGTTGAAAGGATGCCCTGGATGTGTAGCACCATCTTTTGAACTTGGTCCCTTTTCCCAGCTTCTCCACTTCTTTTTCCGCAGCAATTTGCTCATGTTGAGGCCTCACACTGTGGTCCAGCATGTGCCAGCCCTTTCCACAGAAGAGCATTGTGTCATGCAGATGTGGTCCTTCAATGAACGCCTCAGTCTTTCAGGCCGCTCTGACTGGCACTGGCTGAGGGAGGACAGAGGGTCATTCTCTGGCTTGTGCTTCAGTACACGTGGGGCGGGCCCTCCATAGCAGTCCTTCTACTGCTTTCCTTTCTTGACTCCTGAGTACAGGATCACATGACCACTTCTCATTGGGGTGTTCTTTTTGTGCTCACAGAGAACGGGATGACTTAATGTCTGCCCTAGTGTCTGTGAGGAGCAGCTTGGCAGAAGTACAGCAGAGAGAGACAAGTGCCTACAAACAGGTGAAGCATGCTGTGCAGATGACCGAGGAAGCCAACTTTGAAAAGACCAAGGCAAGTCTAATGGATGGACATGGGTACGGTACACAGCCACTGCTTTCCCCCTGTGGATTTCCTTGATTGTTTTTCGTAACTAAACTAATCCCAAACACATAAAACAGATGCCAGTCCACTAATGCTGACTTCTCTAAATTAAGCAAACTTGCTATTTGGAGAATTCTTATTCCTCTGCATATTTCTGTCTTATGACTATTCAGAGATTGTAGAACAATATGACAATGTGCTCTGAGGGTTGTGACTTCACCTTCTCATCACTGAGAGTTTTCAGTGCTGTGAACATCTCGCCACCGGCTCACTTGCTTATCTATGTCCTGTATGAGTAATAGCAGATGTTCTCCTCTGTCAGAAGGAACTTTTAGAACATCTACATACACCAGTGTTAATCACACCTGTGTGTCTGGCAGCATCCTTAGATGTGAATTTGGATCCATTGTGAACTAAGTTAGACATACCTGACAATAGTAATAAAATAATAGTTTACACTAAGCGATCAGTGTTCTTGACACTTTGAATAATTGGAGGTTACTATTGGTTGATTGCTGTGTTTGAGAACCACACTTTAATCAGTTAAAGTTGTTCTGAATTTTTCTTTGATGTGTTGCTGGCTGTATTTCAGGTAGGCACAGGTAGCCAGAAATGTCTACAGTGTTAGAGCAGTCATAGAACATGTTGTCATCACTGGTGGTTGTGTTAGACAACATGTGTCTAACATGCATGTAGAATAGCCCTGATCTGAGGTACATCCCAAACATGAAGTCTTTTCAGTGCTAATAAGATTTCAAGAAGTTTTGAAAATTTAGATTTGTGGTTTTGGCATATGAGTGCTTATTTGATAAGTTCTACACAAATACTGTGTCATAGTTAGGGTTTCATTGCTATGAAGAGACACCACGAACACACAACTCTTATAAATGAAACCATTTAGTTGGGGTGGCTTGCTTACAGTTTCAGAGGTTCAGCATGGTGGTGTGCAGGCAGATGTGGTGCTGGAGGAGTAGCTGAGAATCCTATATCTTGCAGGCAACAAGAAGTTGACTGAGACACTAGATGGTATCCTGAGCATAGGAAACCTCAAAGCCCACCCCCACATTCCGCCAACCCACACCAACAAAGCCATACCTCCTAACAGTGCCACTTCCTATAAGATTATGGAGGCCAGTTATATTCAAACTACATATTCCATTCTCTGGCCCCTATAAGCTTGTAACAATATTATAATGCAAAATGCATTTAATCCAACTTCAAAAGTCCCCATAGTCTATCACACTCTTAACAGTGTTTGAAAGTTCAAAATCTCTTCTGAGATTCAAGCAATCTCTTAACTGTAATCTCCTATAAAATCAAAAAACAGATCACATAGTTCCCACATATAATGGCACAGGATATACAACAGCATTCCATGCAGCTTTGTTGACTGCTGCACACTTTTTGCTTGGACTGTTTCCAATCCCTGTTAGCAGTCTCCTCAGCAGGGATCCCACTGCTCTGGAATCTCCAACATCTTTGGGTTCTCCAAGGCAATCTAGGCTTCAACATCACAGCTTCACGAAATGCCCTCTCTACTAGGCCTCCATTCAGGGACACCCCTGACACGTGCCTGGCCTCAGCAGTTTTCTTTAGGCATGGAGGCAAATTCCATAGCCCATTTCTTCTGCCCTTAACTCTAAAGCTGGAGCTATGTGGTTAAAACTGCCAACTTCTGCTGCTTACTGGGGGCTGGAACACGGCCCCCTCATTCAATTACATCCTCACCAGCTTTTTGTCCTTCACTGCCAAAGCTGGGCTATCCTGAAAGTGGATCTGTAGACCAGGCTGGCCTCAGACTTAGAGATCCACCAGCCTGTGCCTTCCCAGTGCTGGCATTACACCGGGCTCTCAGTTTTTCTTTAATTCCTTTTCACAAGTTGGAAAGTTAGCTGGGTGGGGTCTTGCCCTGAGGCGACCACTCCCTTTACTCCATTCCTTAATCTGTTCAGCACCATTCCACTTCCTGGTGCTTCTTGTCTCCTCAAATATTTTTCCTTGCTTAGCTTACTCCTTCTCATTATAAATCTTCATTAGAGTTAGCACTAGAAACCATTGGACAGAATCTATTCTAGGCTGTCTTTAGATTTCCTCTGCCAATAGATTTAATCCAAAGCTCTTCACTTTAGCCTCAGACTCCAGCAGCTAATGGGAGCAGATGCAGACATGAAGCAGGGAGGGAGCCCAGATTGGACATCTTCATCAGGTCCCTACCCTTGGAGCCTGGGGGACCCTGTGGAAGTAGGGGAGGAAAAATTGTAGGAGCCAGAGGTATCAAGGACACCAGGAGAATGTGGCCTACAGAATCAGCTAAGCAGGGCTCATAGGGGCTCACAGAGGCTGAAGTGGCAGTTTTGGAGCCATCATGGGTTTGCTGTAGGTCCTCTGCATATGTTATGGCTGTTTGCTTGGTGGTTTTGTGGGGCTCCTAACAGTGGGAGTGGAGATGTCTCTGACTCTTTGCCTGCTCTTGGGACCTTTTTCCTCCTACTTGGTGGTCTTTCCTAGCCTTGATATGAGCCTAGTCTTATTATAACTTGGATGTCACTGGAAAGGCTGCTGCTCCTTTCTGAACAGAAATAGAGGAGGAGTGAATTTCCTGGAGAGCATTGGGGTGGGGGTGGAGGGAACCGGGAAGCATAGAGGGAGGGAAAAGTGCAGTTGGGACTTATTGTATGGGAGAAGAATAAATAAGGATGGGAGGGAGGCATTGCATACTGTGAATCTGGTATTTTCACCAAATTGATGGGAATGAAGACAAAGACTGGTTGTCACGTGGTTGATGTGACAAGTCTAGGAGTTTTTACCTGAAGTTCTGATGAGACAGGTGGGGGGAGAATTAAAAGATAGTAAGTATGAATATTTTCAATGTAGAACTTTCTAATCCAAAAATAGGTCTGTTTCATAGTTTCATGGTGTTTATTGCCATCTAGTGGACAGTTTTTGTATTGCATGCCAGTTAAAAGGCATTGCTTCATTGCAATATTTACATTTGTATTGACTGTGAAAATACCTGCTGTGTTTTTAAGAAAACAAATATCTGATATGAGAAGACCACAATGTCATTTTCAAATTACTGTCCATCAAATCTCTACTGTACCACTTTCTAGATCTGTAATTTGGGCAAATTATTTCATGTTTCAAAGCCGTTTTGTTGTTGTTTGTTTGTTTGTTTTGATTATTTTTACCTGAATGATGAGAACCACTTAACATTTGGTAATAGAGTAATGAAATGACTCTATGATAGCCACGTAGATAGCTTTTAATGCATAGCAAGTGCTCAGTGAACGGTTGTACTTGAAAGTGTAAGTTATTACTACCGGAAATAATTTTTAAAGAGAAAAAAAGAATGGCAGAAGGCTTGTTGTACTGTATTGATGAAACTCCAGAGACAGCAGGCAAAGGCTCACAGCCCTCCCACCTGCCTGACTGTTCTAGGAGTGAAATGCTGAGTGATGTGTGGAGGCACAGGCTTAGGAAAAGGGATGAGCACATCAGAAATGAGAGAACATCTACTGAATTTATTCCTGATGATACAAAATTAACTTCATTGTGTAAGATGACTCTCTATAGAAGATTTTCTTTTTAAAAAAATGGTGATATAGTAGGCTAAATAAGTGTTTGTTTTTTAAAAATATCTCCATTATTTTGTGTATTGGATTGTAGCAAAATGGAAAAAGCAGGAATAAGAAACTTGGATATTGTGGAATATTTGTTTAACTAGGCAAAGATGTGTTACATTTGTTTATGTGCAGAATTACTTTAACCATGTAAAGGTGTGTTACTTTTGTTTATGCTGAGTTTGTTTAATTAAGTAAAGATGTGTTGCATCTTTTTCATCTTGCCTGCCTAAGGCACCTGATTAGTTTAATAAAAAAAACTTAACAGGGATAGGCTAGGCTGTCAGGCAGAGAGAATAAATAGGAGGAGAGAGCTAGGCTCAAGAGAGAAGGAAGAGAGAATGAGGGAGATGCTAGCCAGCAAGAAATAGAGACAGCAGGAAAGTAAGACATACAGAGAGAAATAAAGGCAATAAGGCCCGAGGCAAAAGGTAAAGAAAAACAGGTTAATTTAAGTTAATAGAGCTAGCCAGAAACTAGCCTAAACTAGGCCAAGCATTCAAAACTAACAAGTCTCTGTGTCTTGATTTGGGAACTGGTTGGTTGCCCAAAAGAAAAGCCTGGTACACATGGAGTGGAAAAAACTTATCAGAAAAGCATTGAGCACTGGACTCCAGTCACAGGCATGAAAGTAAGTAATGCTCCCTGAAGTACATTGTCTGCTGCAAAATGAAAACAAGTCATCAGTGTCTTTGGAGAAAGACCACATATAGGACAGTGGCCCCAGAAGATTGTAACACGAATAATAAAAAATCAGATGAAAGATCGGAGAAGCAGAGCAGCCAGCTAGTAGCTCTTAGCTCTACCAAGGCTGAAATGGTGATCCTGTGACAGAAACTAAATCTCTCTTGAGATCCTTTGCTTCTTCCTTACACACCTTTCTAGTGCTAGAATTAAAGGTGTGAGCTCTGTTTCTCTTTAAGACTGATTCACTCTCATGCAGCCCTGGGTAGCCTTGAACTCACAGATCCATCTGCCTCTTTCTCCTGAGTCCTGGGATTAAAGGTGTGAACCACTACTGCCCAGCTACTATGGCTGACTAGTGTGGCCAGCTTTACATTCTGCTCTTCAATTGTTTTATTAAATCATAAACAATATATCACCACAGAAGATCATAAGAGAGGTGATGGAATTCCTATCAACTACTGAGTATTAACAGGTGTTTGTGGTGGTATTGGGATAAGCAAACTTACTGTTGCATCAAAATTGGGCATATACAGTTATGTGTAGTATGTAAGCCTCAATAACAAAAAGCAACTCTGTTATTGGCTTACATATTTGCTCTACTTATTCATATTTTAGAATGTATCCCACATACTTATATTCATGCATACAAACATACATACATATGTACAATCAAGCTCAATGTGAAACAGTGTGTAGTATTACACCAGCAGCAGCCCCATCCACTTCATATTTAGAGTGTTTCTTGGTTGCTTCAGAGGTAGGCACGTGACCTATAATATAACATCCATGCTTATGTAAGTGCAAAATTACATAATGATGCATTTCTCAGAACATGGTCACTGATGCATTCCTGTGCAGATAGTCTCATTATATTGACACATTTCTGATAAAAAAGTATTTATGAATTAAAGGCAATACCTTGGTTTATTCATAATCAAGTATGTTGATAATCATTCTTATTTAATGGGCTTTTTCATAAAGATAAATTCATATTCATAAGTTTCAAATTTTATGTTCAATAATAGTAAACAGTAAATTCTCATAATATTTTAATTTATTATTCATGAGTTTTTCACTGGGACTTCTAGGAAACTATCCTTAACAGTTGGGAAGGGAAATTAGAAATATCATTAAATAGGTTTTCTGTTTTAAAACTTTAGTGGACAGATGACAGTTTTGTTGTGGAAATTGTTTGACTCCTTTAGGGTAGTAATATTTACCTTTGCCTTAATAAAACTAGAATTAGAAATATTAAGTCTAAGAAATTATGTTTTGAAATAAATGTTGGTAGGGACAGCATGAAATGATTTCAAAGGAAGAACTTGAGTTGGATTTACTGGCTCAGGAAAGCATAGTTCCTCCAATCCTCATGACTGGCAGCCATTTCCACCAAGGAAGGAGAAGAGGCCACCACACCAGCTCCCCCCAGGAAAATTGGAGTGCAAGCCCTGCTTGGACATCATCGTCTTAGTTGTGACCTCGCCTCTCAGAATTCCCTCATTAGGTGTTAGCTAGGGTTATGGAAAATTAATAAATGGAGCCCTTGAATTATAAGGAATAGCATCCTGCATTAGTCTGCAAGTATGGAGTTAAGAACCCCTCGGCTTCACATGAGGTCCAGTGTAAGGGAGACAGTCTTAGACCTCAGGGCTTCCAAGTTCCCTGGTATAGGTCCAGAGGGTAAAGTGATCACTGTTCAAACATTAGGATCTGAGATTGAACCCCAACACCCAGATCAAAAGCCAGATGAGGCCAAGTGCACCTGTACTATCAGTGAGTGGGGGTGCAGAGGTGGGGGAGATGGGATTTCTGGGGCATGATCTCCAGACAGTCTAATTGGTGAACTCCAGGTTCAGTGGGAGACCCTGTCTCAAAATCTAAGGTAGAGGAGTAGTTGAGGAGGACTCTGACTTCCACATTCACATGTATGCGTTTATGTTCACTACACACATGTACACACACACATACACACAATCAAATTTATTTCCAAGTATTACTAGATCTTAACTACTTTTTTCATTATAACCAGATATAAATGTTAAAAAATAAAAGTAAATAAAATGACCATTGATTACATATGTAGTGATGTCATAACCAGTTTGTAACCTAAGGTTTCCCTCTATGCTCCTATCCTACCTACCATCCTCTTGCAGGTAGGCTGGCAGAAGGCAGGAGGCCGCTCACAAGCAGTGGTCAGCACGGTTTGCTTATCTGAATTACAGCTCCACTTTGTGCATTCCGCTGAAACAACCTAAGGCTTGGCCTCTCTGCCCCAAGGACCATTTCTTCATATTTCTGTGCTGACTGGGTTCTTCCACTGTTCCTGGTGTGGATTGGGCTTGTTTCTCAGGTGTTCTTACTCTCCTCAGACTTAATGATGCTGACGCCTATGTTGTAGTTTAGGTGGAAATTTCTCTGGATACATTGGTTCTATTTACTCACACCAGTAGTATTCATTATAACAGTTAAAGCTACAGGTTTGTTTTTACTACATTAATGGAAAGTAATTTTCACTAACATGAGTGCATTTTGAAGCACAGAATTCTGTATTTCCTAGTTCTTCAGTCTCCAAGGGATTCAGTTATGAAAAATATGTACTTTTTCATTTTTTTACAATCTAGTTTTAAATTTCCTTTCTGACGCCTTCCTCCAGGATTTAGCTTGGGACTAACTCCATTAGAGAACTTTTAAAGTAAGAATTATGTTTGTTTTGGTTAACCATACATATTTGAAATTGGCTGTCATCCTTTAGGATAGCATACACTTTCCTAAGTAAAGAACGAAAGGTGAGTGTCTTCTAGATGAAAGAAGGAAAGTCACAGATCCTAGATATTTTCCATCTATAGTTAGTTTTTAGCAAAAAGCAGTTTAACTATGCAAAAGCCTAACAGTGTGCATCCAGGCCATTTCCATCTCCGCTGTTAACAAAAGTGACTGTCCAACTTAGAAGCATACAGCTTGTGAGCTTCGTGAGCCCTGGGTGGGGCCAGAGCTGTAGGAATAAACAAGGTCAGAACACTGGTTGAGGTTTTCTTATTGTAACCTGAAGTTCTATTTCATTGTTGGGCATTATAGATAATGGCCAAAGGAGTGAGAGAGTTTTTATTTCTGGAAAACACAGTGGGCGATTTTGATCAAAGGAAAATGGTGACTTATTTTTTCATTTATGAACTTTTACTGCTGTTGCATTATGTCCACCTGATGACAGCAGTCAGTAAGCTTGTGTTTAAGGGGAGTGAACTAAATCTTAGTTATGTTAAGGAAACTTTACTAATAGAGTGTTAATAGATGCCTGTGTGTAATGAAATATAGAATAGTATTCAATGTCTGCTTTAATTTTTTTCTATTTATCATTTAAAGATTTTTTTCTATTTTTTCTATTATTTAAAGAATTAAGATACTTTTAATGATGAAGAAGTGAGAGATTAGTCTATTTTCCACATAGTGCTAACACAACATTACTAAGCATACCAAAGCACTTGACTTTTCTGAGCTCATTTTTCAAATTCTGAGTGTACTGTGGCCACCATCAAGGCCACCAGAACTCTCCAGCTGACAAGTCTTACAGCCTCAACTGTGAAATGGAAAGTGTGACATTGGGGTGCTGCTTTGACAGTCAGTGGTGTTAACAGTCATCCAAGTGGGCTGTAGAGTAGGTTTAACTGTCTTAAATAAGAGAACTGTAACTCTGATTTCTCCCTGCTGTGTTCCTCACTGCTGAAGTCCCTTCTTATTGTCTTGTCTGGCAGGCTTTGATCCAATGTGAGCAGCTGAGGAGTGAGCTGGAGAGGCAGACAGAAAGACTGGAAAAGGAACTTGCAGCTCAGCAAGAGAAACGGGCTTTGGAGAAGGAGATGATAAAGAAAGAAGTAACCAAGGAGAGGGAGGATGCAGAGTCAAAGGTAACTGGCTAAAGACTTCCCCATGGTCATTGGGGAGGAACGTGATGGGTAGAATGTAAGCAGGCAAGGACTGGCTTTGGTTCACAGTTTCAGTTCATCCTGGCCGAAGGCAGCTCAAATCTCCTGGCCATGAGGATGTTCGCCCTGCGTCCTCATCCAGCTCTGCTGCTGCTGCTTTCTGCAATCCTCCTGCGCTGTGTTTCTACCTCTCCTTCAGCTGTGGCCCCATGCATCCCTTGTATTTCTCCTTCAGCTTCAGCAGATGAATTGGAAGCCCTGGGGATGTAGTCCCAGGACCAGTGCTACTGTCCCATAAAGTACAGACTTTAGGGAACAGATATGTTCATAAATGATAAAAATCTCTCAATTCTGGATGCTTGTGAGAGACTTTTTGTCAGGAGAATTTTGAAGTGAGAGACTTTTTGTCAGGAGAATTTTGAAGTGAGGCCTAGAAAGGAGGAGGGTAGTCGGGTGAAGAGTTTAGTTCAGGAAGAAAATGTCAAGTCCAGGAAAAGCTGAAGGTCTGTGCATGGTCAGGTTTGGAACTGCCAGGTGGTGGAGCACAGGGGTAGAATAGTGGAGGGTGAAGAGTGAAGAAGTATACAGGGAATAAATCGCCAATGCTCTTAAAGTCTACGTGAGTATTAGAAATTTCAACCAAATGTGACATTAAGCCACTGAATGGCATTACAGTGGACAGTGTTGTAACCACATGAATATTTGAGGAAAACCACCTTATTAATAAATTGGAGTAGAATTAGTGCATGTACCAGGAGAATCAGGTTGGGGTTAGGTTTGGCATGTGGGGGGTGACATCTTGGATCCAGGAGATCACTGGGAGTTAGTTATGGCATCTGGGGGCAGTAATAGCATCTTGGTCTGCTGTAGAATATCATTTTAAGGTATGTTACTTTTGTTTATGCTTTGGAACGTCTATTTAATGACACAAAGATGTGTTTGATTAAATAAAATTCCCCTGTGGTCAGGAGGCTGGGCTAGCAACTAATGAACAGGAAGTTGTAGGTAGGAGCCAGGTGGAGAAGGTTTATAAGGAGGGGCGAGAAGGAGCACAGGACTTCTTGGGAGATGTGAGGAGGTGAGCTGCTTGCTTTTCAGCTTCTCTGGGACAGAGATTTAAGTAGGTTTCCGTGGTAGCTTTGAAAGAGTCAGTGCCCCGGGGAACCTTTCCTTTTTTTCCTTGCCCCAATAGAAACAGTTCATCATGTCGTCCCAAACAGGGAACTTATCACCCTTGGCTGCCCTCCCCCACCCCCTTACCATGAGTTAGAGAAAGGCAGCCTTCTTTCTCTCTGCTCTGTTGTCACAGCCTTCTCACCCTCAGGTGGCACTTACAGCCCTGTGGTGTCATCGCCACCAACCTCAACTCACTTGTTTTCTAAACCACAGCTGGGACACTTTTCCTGTGCTGAAGATCTCAGTGAGCCAGGGTCTTGGTTTAAAGGTCTTTTTCGTCTCCCTGCAACCTCAGATAAACTAGGAACCTTTAGCAAAACAAAGCCTCTCCATCATTTCTCCTCTCTCCTCTCCCTCATTTCTTCCTTGTGTCCCTACAACAATGGCCTCTTTGCACTTCTCCACTTCTGCAGGTGTTCAGACAGGCCAGCTGCCCTGTTTGTTTTGTTGTTTTGGTTTTTTGTTTGTTTGTGCTTGATTTTGTGCTTTTGGGGTGTGTATGTGTGTGTGTGCGCGTGCGTGTGTGTGCACATGCGCACATTCGCTATTCTGGAACTTAACTCTGTACACCAGGCAGCCTTGAACTCAGAGAGATCCACCTGCCTCTGCCTCCCAAGTGCTGGGATTAATGGCATGCACCAACACCACCCTCCAGCTGTTTTTATCCAAGATTTTCAGTAGGCTTCATCTCTTGTCCAGAGGAGTCTTTCTTTGTTCCATTTGCTCCTTCAGAGTTCTTGAAACAGCCTCCTTCAGAGCTTTCCAAAGCCAAACTAGCATCTACTCTGGGTGTTCCCACCAATATTGCCTTCTCTAACTTTCTGTGAGTCCCTGCATATATGACCTGACATCCTTGTTGTTTGGCACATTAGCACATGCATAAATACATATTTTTGAATGAAATATAAATAACACAGAAGGAAGGGGAAGAAGGCCCCATGGCGTGGGAAAGCCAGGACTGAGGCAGAGAGTCAGAACTGATCCCTATCTGCAAGCATGGGAATCATGGCTAGCCTTGGGAAAGGTGGTGTTTAGCTGAGCTCCGAAGAATAGGTGGGATTTAGAATCTTAGCTACTGAGGAAGGAAGTGGCCTCTGTTCAGCCCGAGGAAGGCATGAATTAGCTAATGTGTGTGTATGTGAGAAAATAGAATTGACCACACACAAAGGCTACTGCTCACACCTAGGCTACTTTTATTTGGAAAGGGGCTTATTTAGTGGAAGCATTTTACTTAGTAGCTTCACAATTAAAAACACTTGGGTGCAGATTTCGAAAAGGAAGGGGGGGGGGATGAACTGTGCTTGGCAGTATGCCAGGTGCCTTTGTACAGGAGTCTCTCCCTGGTGGGTGCTTCCTGAGTAAAGGTGGCAACCACCATGCAGCACACTGTCACAAATGAGTGAGCTCTGAAGACAGTTGGTCTCCATACAGGAGTAAAAGTAAGGCCAACCAAATCCTAGCCCTGAGGTAGTGTTCTCATCAGGGAGAATGTCTTCAGCAGAAAAAGGTGGGGGACCAAGTCCACTTTGACCTCTCTGGGACTTTGTCTAATCTTTGGGGGTGATGAGTGCTTAAAGCACCTGGTAGGATTAAACTGGATGATGCTTTGAAAATGCCAGAATTGCTATCTTATGATGGGCACTCAATAAGTTGAGCCTGTGCCTATTAGCATTTTTATTTTAGGGAATGAACAGTGGACTTCATGGACAGTTTTCTTGTGCCTGTATGTCAGTGTAGACAGGCTTGAATACAAACTCTAGCTATACTTTTTATGCATTATCTTGAATGAACTTGGGCAAGTAGCTTAGTTTCCTTAATTTCTTTCAGGGGAATTAAAAATTAATCCAACTAATCCAATTGCCATTAATCTGAATCTGATACAATTCTTTAAAGGGACTTAAGTGCACACATGTGTGCAACATTAGGAAAGTACGTAGAAAGCTAGAGTTTCTGCATAATCAGTGCAGTAGTTGGAATGCAGAGACCTCAGACACAGGTACTGTGATCCTACAGTGCACACATGCGCTAAGAGCTAGCAAGCATGCATCTCTGCCTCTCCTGACTTTATCCTTGCCTCCTGCTCCTTGCAGTTCCACTCTTTTGTTCTAGATCCTTCAGTTTAACAAGCAGATTTGAAATACATGCCCAGGACAAAAACCCACCAACACAAAATACTGAATGAGGTATTTATTGAAACAAAATGAGAAGGGAGTTTCCTCATATTTTTAAAGAGTATGGTCATGTGTGTGTGTGAGTGTGTGCATACATAAACAGAAAAGAGGGATTGTCACTTGATTCCAGGTATAGCTGTGGAATCAGAAAGAACATTGCTTTCCAAACTGCTCCCTGGGTTTGGGGAGTCGCTGAGTTGGTAAAGGGCTCCCTGCAAGAGCTTGAGGACCTGAGTTTGGATCCCAGCACCCACGTGATAAAGCTGTGCTGAAACCTCAGTGCTGGGGAGCTGGAGACAAAGCATCCCTGGTGCTCAGTGGCCAGCCAGGAAAGCTGAATCTGTGGGTCCAAGTAATGAGTGAAAAAGACAGGGAGGGGGGCTGACCTCTGACCTCAGCATAAATGTGTACACATATATTTACATCCCCCCCACACCCAAGCTTTGGAATACAGTCTAATAGGGAAAGTAACCAATTAATCATTATGTTGTAAGAATTAGTGCAAAAACAGGTGCTCCTGGTTCGTAACAGTTGGACACTCAAGAGGCTTAGTCATCTCCTCTTCTCCATTTGTGTGTGGAGCCCTAGGAGAATAGGTGCCTCTGCCTACCTGCCCATGTTTGAATAACTCCTCCCTCCCCTGTGACTATTTCCTGCTGTGAGTTTGTCTTTTGCTTTCAGTAACAGTCCTTGTCTGCTCTGAACTGCTCTGGCTAGTTAGTTCAGCCAGTCATTCAGCATATGCTTACTTGATCACCCCCTACAGCCTGCAGTTTCTTAGTGGGTTCCCTCCACAGCAGCCCATCCCCAGAATCCTTAATTTCTTGTATCTCTTCTACCACTTCATGCGATATTCAATGCACTGGAAACCACTTTGCGCAAATTTCTATCAAGCTTTCCCAACCTAGGTGTCCTTGTCTCTTCCTTGCCCCTGTCAAAGTTTAAAGGACTTACCTGGTGTCAGTGCCTTGGACATCCAGCAGTGTTGCAGCTGTCTGTGTTACTTCTGGCTCTGCAACAGATGTGGATGGAGAAGCTCCTGCCGTGTAAGGCTGACTTCCAGATGGTGGGCATGAGGGAGAAGAAGGTGTGACAACAGGAGGGGAAGCCTCAGGAAGTGGGTGACAGGAGGTAGCAGACAGGTAGTGGGCAGAGGAACTAAATGATGGGTATAGAGGGAGGGAGACCCACGAAAGGGAGGGATTTGGTGTATGCCTTGTAATAGAAGCTGACACAACATTTACATTAGTAAAATAAATATCTGTATGTTTACTTGAAACACAGAGCATGCTTAATATGTTTACAGCCAGGTTTATCTCCACATAAATATGTAATGTATTAGTTTTAATAGCTTGACACTAAAATGTACTGCTGTTATATGGGTCCAGAAGACCTATTACAGGTTTATGGTATGGATAGTCATGAATTGGAGTTCTTAAGGAAATTAAATTCATACTCGATTTGCTCCATTTATTTTATTTGACCTTTAATTATTGGTTCAGATTGTGATGTGCACTAAGATACTTTGTAGTTTGGTATTAGTGAACCTATGTGCAAGTAAGTTTTTGGATAATCTTAAATGTTCAGGACATGTATATAACTGTAAGTCAAATGTACACTTCTCCATGATTTTCAGAAGTCAATTAGTTGATACTTCTAAATTAAAAAGTATCTATAGGACTCATTGTTTGCATGTGCGTCAAGTGTGCTATTTATATAATCAAATGCAACACCTGACATCGTTTTATTGCTGTGAAGCTCTTAATTTACAAAACTTTTGTTCAATTTTGATACAAGAGTTTTTATTACCATGTAATTAATCATTCATCGGGATGTTTTTATGTATGCATATAATATATTTTAATCATACTCACCCTTCCATCCCCATTATATAATCTCCTGTTCCACTGGCCTTTTGTTTGTATGTATGAACCAATGAGTTTAATTAGGCTTACTTGGTTTTGTTTGTTTTTCAGGATTTCTTTTTTTTTAATGCTCATTGGTGTTTTGCCTGCATGTATCTTTGTGTGAGGTTGTCAGAAGCCTAGGAACTGGAGTGACAGACGGATGTGAACTTTTATGTGGGTGTTGGAAATTGAACCCAGGTTCTCTGGGAAAACAGCCAGTCCTCTTTTTTTTTGTTTTTTTTTTTTTTTTGTTTTGTTTTGTTTGTATTTTTTTATTAATTTATTTTTCACATTTCAATCCCAGTTCCCCTTTCTTCGTCTCCTCTGCTGCCCTCACCCCCCCCTCCTTCCATCTACAGCCAGTACTCTTAGCCACTCAGCCATCTCTCACCTCTTATAGGCTTATTTGTATGACAATTTTAGTTATTTATTTCAATTATAGAACAGTGTATACATGTCAGAGACTGTGGTAGGATGCAAGCATCATTGTTTCTTTAGCAGATAAAGTAGATGTCCCCATATGCTTTTTCTGGGTTAGGGTAGCATTCCTTCATTTTAAATGTGTCGGTCCAACTAAGAAGCTAGACTTGCTAAAACAGCACAACCATGAAGTCTAAGGACAAGGAAGCATTTTTAGTCCCAAGAAGAGTAAGACCGATATACATACAGATTCCCTCAGAAAAGCATCCATCCTAATTTTCATCCACATACTGGTGGGACATTTGGTGCCTTTTAACGAACATGCCCTTGAGGAACTTCTAGTTAAAAAAAAAAAAAAAAAACCAGGCAGCTGGAAACAATGAAACAGAGTAATGAAGTATCATGGCAGGGTGTACAGATGTGGAGGGTGGTTAGGCCTACACACTGAAGTTGGCTGTAGGATTACATGCCACTGTAACACCTGAATGCTAAACAGCCAGGATGGCATGGGCAGTGACAGGGAGAATGGAAGCAGGCACAGATCACAGGCATAAGTATTCCCATGCACAGCAGCTGATTGGCAGCCCAGGGCTGGGAACCGAAAATCAAGGAGGGCTTCCTGGAAGACAGGAGATCTCTGAGCATCTGGTTCTTGACAGGGCTGAGAAACACTGAGGATATCTGCGATTTGCCAGCAGAGGAATTGCAGGGATCCCCTGTGTTGATTTGGGGGGAGGAATCACCTCTCTCTATATCTATCTCCATGTCCTCTCTTTAGATTATCCTTTCTATTGTTTAATGTCCATGTGGGATAGGACATAAGAGTTGCCTGGTTCCCCCAGCCCCCCTTTGAAATGTCTCAGTCTGTTCCACAGCATATCATATTTGCTGTCTCAGGGTTTCAACCAGCCTTTAGACTTTATCATCCATCACCTCTTCACACCAAGTAAGAGTCCAGAGAGTGAATAGGAGTGGAGGAGGTATTTCAGGTGATGAGGTGAGTTGAGTAAATAGAGAAGCGGACATATCCAGCCCACAGAGAAATTATGTAAATCCCAGTAGTTGTGCAGACACAAACTATTGAAATGACTTTTACTATTCTTATTTTCAAAGGCCATTACTGAACTTTATGTTTCCTCTTACAGATGTTGCTCCTGACTCAGAATATTGCCAAGCTGGAGGCCCAGGTAGAAGCTGTTACAAGGGAAAAGATTTCAGCCATCAGTCAACTAGAGGAAATTCAGAACCAGCTTGCTTCTCAGGAAATGGATGTCACAAAGGTCTGAACAATCCTTGGTTTAATAATTGCTTAAGTACATATTTTCTTTGAAGTATTTTTGTTCAAAATGTATCGTGTGTGTGTGTGTGTGTGTGTGTGTGTGTGTGTGTGTGTGTGTGTGTGTGTGTGTGTATTGTGGAGGGGGAGGGCGCACATGCTATCCGGTGCTGCTGTGGAGTCACGGTCAGGTTTCTCTCCTCTGTGGGCTCTCCCTCTGGTTTTCAGATACAGTCTGAGCAATCTAGTCCACCATGAAATCATTTTTCTTAATATCCAAAGCTCCTGGTATGGTCAGGAAGAAGTACAGAATAGAAAAGTTCCATTATTTCAACAATTATAAAGGTCAACTTAATGAGTCTATCAACAAACATTACTACAAGCCCTCCTCCATGGTCCAGAAAAATCTGAAGATAATTTGTACCAAGTAGTTGGCAAAGACAGACTTGTGAATAGGAGTGACATTGCTTTAACTGTTGAATCTTTAACAAAGCTAACTTTTCTGAGTTCATTAGCTAGGAGTGTTTGCTTTTCCACAGACAGTATGAGGTTGGTCTTCCCAGTAACTGTTTAAGACTTGCTGAAAGGGGTGCTAAATTTAGCATCAATTCTTATTTTATTGATACTTAAGTTATACATTAAAAGACTGCAGCATTTGTGCTCTGAGCACATTTATTGGTTTTAACTGACTTAAGAATGTTAGTTTATGGACTAGTGAGATGGCTCAGTGGTTAAGAGCACTAATTGCTCTTCCAGAAGATCCAGGTTCAATTCCCAGAACCTATATGGCAGCTCACAACTGTCTGTAACTCCCAAGTTCTGACATCTTCACACAAACATACATGCAAGCAAAACACCAATATATATATATAATAAGAATACATATATTACTTAAAAAGAATGCTAGTTTATTTGGACTTCAAGTAAATCACTTAACTAGTAAGGAACTGAGTATTGGCATATGTAATATATAAATGAAATCATTCTTTACCACTGAATTCACAGATAATTATGTAACATGATAATCTACATTCTTAAATTTTGATACACTTTATTCCATTGTTGCTTTATAATTAATCAGAATTATTTTAGCTTATATATGATACATATACATACATCTTACAAAAAAAGCTATTTCCCTTTTCACTTTCTAATTCTCCACTTCCTAAATTTATGGTTGATGATGAAGAAATTTAAGAAGCTCCTGTTTGCTAACATAAATTCTGTTTTTGTCTGGAGATAGGGGTGGCAGTGAGGTCTGCTGAGGAAGATATGCAGGTTTGCAAGAGAAATCATGGCACTGGTTTGTGGCTCAAGCATCATATTGTAATGAATGAGTTCTTGGCTCTGCATCTGTTCAAAGGACTTGAACATCTGAGAGTGACACATTAGATAGGCTAAGTGACTTTGAAATAGTTTCCAACCCTGAGATAGGATTCTGGCTCAGTATGAGGCCTTGACTTATTGTAGAAGATGTAGAAGCATTGTGGATGAATAGAGTAAGCAATGAGCTGAAAAGACTAAGAAAGTGAGTGTTCAAATTAAAAAACAAAGTGACTTTTTAGAAGACTAGACTCAGTCCTTTGTTACATAATGCACTTAGAAAAATGTCATTAGCAACCACAGCTGAGGGGCTGTTATTTTCTAACTTGAGAGTTTTTCACTTAATTTCTAGACCTACTTAAGCCAAATGGTTTGGGATGGAGGAGACATTTTTCTTTGTGTACCTGTCACAATAAGATTGATGCTATTTGTAATGTTTACAATAAATTCTGTTTTTTTGTTCATCTAAATTGCAATAATATAGTTTATTAGCAAAGGAAAATCCATATAATTTTTCTTAACAGTTTAACTGATGAAGTCTTTGAAGAAATAATTATATAGTCAGGAGTGGTGGCATTCAGGAGGCAGAGGCAGGGAGACCTGTGAGAGATCAAGGCCAGCCTGGTTTATAGAGCAAGTTCTAGGACAGCCAGGGATACACAGAGAAATTCTGTCTCAAAACCAAGAAAAGAAAACAAACAAAAAGAAATATTTTATAATTTAGAGAATTGATCATATGTGTGAATAATAGCATACTTTAACTGTTTTAATGACTAATTTTAGTATAATTTTAGATGGTATTTCCTTTTGTTGGTAATATTTATTTAAAATTTTCTGTGTGTGTGTTTTAAATCTGTTTATTTTTTGTTTTTCAAGACTGTGTTTCTCTGTGTAACAGCTCTGGCTGTCCTGGAATTTGCTTTTAAGATTAGACTGGCCTCAAACTCACAGATATCCACATGCCTTTGCCTCCCACGTGCTGGGATTAAAGGTGTGTGCTACCATGTGTAGTCATTTGAAACTATTTTATATGAAATAATCTTGAAAATATACATTTTATTATTTTATTGTTTTTGATTGTTTGAGAGAAAGGGATGTGTGTATGTGTGTGTTCGTGCATGCATGCGGGTGTGTGTGTGTGTGTGTTCGTGCATGCATGCGGGTGTGTGTGTGTGTGTTCATTCATGCCCACACTGCTATGGCACTCAAGGAAGTCAGAAGACAACTTGAAGGAATCAGTTCTCTCCTTCCACTAGGGATCCTGGGATTTAACTCAGGTAATCATGTTTGGTGGCAAGTGTCATTACCTGCTGGTACACCTCACTGTCTTAACATTTCATTGTTGTATTTTGGAATGTTGAACTCGGTAATTCCAGTCTTAAACCACGTTCAACCGCCTTAGAAAATTTTGTTGTACTTCATCTGTGTGTCCTCTAGAGGGCACCAAAAGATCTAATTGTCGGCATTGCTCTGCTGATCCCAGAGGCTATTGATCTGTTTTTACACTCTAACAGGTGTGTGGAGAAATGCGCTTTCAGTTGAATAAAACGAAAATGGAGAAGGATGAGGCAGAAAAGGAGCACAGAGAATACAAAGCAAAATCCCAAAAGGATCTAGAAATTAAAGATCGGGTAAGGAAAGACACAAGCACAGCTACTAAGCTGTTAGTAACATGTTTTCTGAAGTTGGTGTGGTCTTATCCCTAGGCTGTTTGTCTTGTATTGTTTCTCACTAACGCAAGGACCCACTTTATACTATTAAAAGAATTTCACTTATAGTTGCCTGACATGAAATGGTGAGAATACAACTGCTTGCATATGAAATTCCAATTTGACAGTTCATAAATATACATTTGGATATGTATCTATTACTTAGAAAAGTTTAAAAATGTTCTAATGCACAGTGTGAACCTAAAATATACGTACATAAAGTTCTTGAAAGATGCCAACTTGCATCCAATTTTAAATGAAAAACTTTAAAATTTGTAAGATGAGATGAGTTGATATGTAAATATGTCAATCAAATTGATTGTTGGCAGAACGGAACCAGTTTTAACTAGATAGCCATGAATACGTTTGCTCAGGAAGCCTAAATACAGTGAAATTAGAAATGTTAGGGAAAATGGTACTTGCTTCAGTTTCTGCTGAACAGATGTTTTATGCTAGAACTCTGCTGAGAGTGTATAGATACTCCAGTTTTAATCGGGATGGCTTGTACAGAAAGAGTTATGGCAGACTGACTCTTGATGTTCTAGTTTCATGTCACATTATAGGCCATTGAAGGCTTGCATTCCCTATAGCCAAGAAAAGCAGATTGTGTATTCTATTAAAATAATAAGACTGGGGTATAAGAATCAATGATTTAGAGAAAGCCTTACAATTTAGAAGTAAGAAAAAAAAACAATTTAGAAGTAAGTTACACTAGATGATTTTACAACGTATTTCTCATCAAGGCTTTCTATCATATTTTCAACATCTTTTCCCTTTCAACCCATCAGCTGTTGATACCAAATGACATAAAGGCAGTTGGGAAAAGTATTAAATAAGAAAGTGCTAATGAAGTTTTGTGCAAAAAAAAAAAAAATTCAAATCCTGGCTGAAACCCTTGGTACTAATTTGACACCCAGACAACCAGAATAAAAGTAGTTTTTATACCACTTTATGCAGACTTTATGATGTGTTTTGTGTCTTCGAAGATATTAATATTAATGTGTACAGACTGCATTTCCTCCAGCTGGGGGCGTACCTGATAGTGGAATGTAAAGTTCCTTCCATCAAGGAATGAAACCCTGGGATTACTAAAGCAATGGAGCGCTTTCCTCTTTCTAATGCCCTCCTGGTTCTTACAGTTATGTGGACACACCCTATAACATTATTAAATATCTTTTGAGTTGTTCTACAACACTATAGAGGTATAACATTTTCAACTAATAGAACACAGACACAAAGAGTTTTGGAATGATTTAAAATTAAATTACCGTGTTTGAAAAAAAAATCCTACACTGACAAAAGGAGGATATCACTCGGAAATGAGTAACCTAGTTTAAAACCATTTCTAGTGTCTGTTTTTTAGCACACTATCTTTTTAGTGTGCAAAGGCTTAAGCCGCAAGCAGTGATTTTCCTTTGTCACTGTTTCCTGATGTCTGAAAAACCTAGTTTCCCTGATGATCCTTAGTGATGCCCTGTAGGTGGAGATGCGCCTTTTAGGAGGGCACAGTGGTTAGGAGTAAACCTGCGAAGGGTCCGGAGATGTTTGCTTGCTACCGTTTTTTCCTGGGAAAGGCTGTGAGCAGATCTTGTAGATACTCTTTGTAACACAGTTTCAGAAAGTCGCAGCTTCTCATTCCCTGGATGATTTGGAGCAGCAAAGCAGCAATTGTTCTTTGGTCTCTCAGCCATGACCTGACCTTCTGTCTGTAAGACCGAAGAGCTATTTAGCTTGGCCACCATCTGCACCCAGGAGAGAAATTTACATTTAGCTTGGAAAATCTGGCCATGGCAAGCATTTTTCCTCAATACCTACAATGATATAAAGCATATTTAGTCTTAAACCCTTATATATCATACAGTCATCAGAACCAGACGCCTGTCTCTTGGTTTGCAAACAGGTGTTTCCCATAATGTAGTCATTTTATTCATATTTTAGCTAATCTGGCTACTTGATGGGTTTTGAAAGTAGGTGGGAAACTGTGAGATCGGAATGTGGTGAGAACAAGAGCCTCTTTGATGTATACAAAACAGGGCAAATGGTTGACCACCAAAATGATTTTCCTCGTGACCTGAGCCTTGACTCTGGCATAATTAGAAAGAAAGGTTAGTGGAGGAACAATGGCCGTCTCTTCCGCCCACTTTCTTCTTTTCTCTTTATATTGTGTCAGGACCCATGGGTGAATTATCCTTCCCATCAACTCCTTTGTGTAGCTCCAGCTCAGAGAACTGCTGTCGGTCTCAGGGGATGTTTCTGCCCAAGGAAAACAAAAGGCGTTTGGTGTGGAGATTGCAAGTCTTTGCCCTGATTTTTTTCTTTTCTTTTTCACTTTCTTCCTTCCTTCCTTCCTTCCTTCCTTCCTTCCTTCTTTCTTTCTTTCTTTTTTAAATATCAGGTACACACATGCACACATACCCCATCATGAGAATCCACAAACACATGAAAGGAAGGGAATATTACAAACAGCCTGTGTGCTTCTGTACTTAATTCATTATCGTGCCAATCCTCTTCCTCCCAGTTCAGTTTTTCTCTAAGTTCACTTCCATTGTCATGTTTTTTTTCCATCATATTTTCAAATTCCTCTTCTCATTGTCTTCCTCTACCTCTTCTCCTTTTACAGAAATATTTAAAGCAGGTATCAGACACTATGTATGTTTATTATTTTCCCCTACAAATACTTTATTGTATATCCATGAAGGGAAATTTCATGTTATTGTATTATCACTCTGAATAGTACTAACAGTAATTAGTAGCAAGTGACACCCAGGCAATGGTCATATATCTTTATCTCAAAATGTTTTGCAGTTGGTTTATTCCAGAATGCAAGGCAGGTGTGTCTTTGTCTGTTCAAATACTAAGGTGCTATCATTAAAAGGAGGTGAAAGAACACTTAGATAATAACAAAGTTGAATCTTCTTTGCTATTAAATTTCCCATGTCTTTGCTTGTGCTCTATACTTCTAAAACTCTCTCTGTGTGTGTACTCCTTAGAGCTATGCCTTCATCCTGTGTCACACTATTGGAGCATGTGGCCACCCTGCAATTTTTATGGTGTTCAAGAAGGGGGGCCAGAGACTCTGAAATGTCATTTCAGGGCCCTATATTTAAGATTCAGGAATTGTCCAGAGACTCCGGCATTGCCAGATTAGCTGATTTGAAATGAGGATTGCATCTTGGAAATTGTCTTTGTCAACTTTGAATTTGATAGTTGTGCCTCAAAAGATGTGCTTTAGCCCCTAACCTTCATCAGAGTCAGTGTAAGTAAAAATACAGAACTTTTTGTTCAGAAAAGAGAAGTATGATGTTAAAGGTACTACAATAGGAAGCTTTTCTTTTCCTTTTCTTTATTCTTAGGGATCTTTCACTCCTCTGCCTCCTGTTCCCCATCATAGTATTTTAAATTTGTTATTTAATTTGGAACTGTATATTGCACAAGGATGAACATAGTAGGTGTAAATCCTCATTGGTACCCTATAACTGAGGGTGCATATGTGACCCATTAGCTTCTAAGTTTTGTTTATATGTGTGTGCATAGAAGTGTGTGTGTGTGTGTGTGTGTGTGTGCACATTGACGTGAAAGCCAGAGTACAACCTTAGATGTCATCCTTGGGAGTGCCATCAACCTCCTTTGAGACATGGTCTCTCTTTGGTCTGAAGTTCACCAGTTATGTTAGATTGCTCTCCAACAAGCTCTAGGGATCATCCTTTCTCCATTTCACTAGTAGGGAGTTACAAATGCCCCCCATGTCTTGTTCTCAGTCCCGTATAGAACTCCACTTGAAAGAGGTGAGTCAGGTCTCAGAATAAAGGCAAAACTATTGCCCAGTCACCCCAGCTTGACTCTGGCCATTGTTGCTGAGGCTGGAATATAGGTGGGGAGATGATCCAAAGAAACAAGACAGTTGAGGCAGCTGTTTATTGGTGATCTGAGCTTTGAAACTGCAGGTGATAGCTTAAGAGAACATTTGGAGAAATGAAGCACCTTTTTGGACTGTGTGGTGATGTGAGACTCTGAACAAAACATTCAGTTGTCTTTGGTTTTATGACTTGCTCTTGTGTTGAAGAGGTCGGTGAAGCAGTTTATACTGGACCACACAAGGTTAATGGGCATGTGGTAGACGAAAGAGAGCCATTTAGAGAGGGGACTGGTGCCCATTTAATAAAGAAGTCTGTGTTGGTAGTATTAAAGAAAGTACAGAAGTATACAATCTGAGAGACTACTTTGAAAAGTATGAGAGATTGAAACCAGCCAAGTTCTGGAAGTCAAGTATGTGGAAAGAAAAGAGGATTTGCTTTTGTAAATGTTGATGATCATGACACAGTTGATAAAACTGTTGTTCAGCAATACCAACTGTCAATGGGTGTAGTTGTGAAGTGCAAGAGGCCATTTCTAAACAAGAGATGCAGTCCACTGGTCACAGAGAGGTCAGGAAGTGGATCTGACAACTTTATGGAGGAAACTTGAGAGGTGGTAGAGACAATTTTAGTTTTCGTAGAACCTTTGGGGCAAGAGGAGGCTATGCTGGCAGAGGTAGTCATGAAGGTTTATACAATGTGGTTAGAGGTGATGGCGGCAACCATGATAGTGGTCCTGGTTACAGTAAGAGAAGAGACTGTGGTGATGGTGGAGCAGGATATGGAAGTCAAGGTGGTGCATGCAATCATAGAGGAGAAGATGGTGGCTATTATGACGGAGGAGGAAATTTTGATAGAGGTAACTGTGGTGGGAAGTACACGTTTTTGAAAATTATGGTGAACAACAGCAATCAAATTATAGTTCCATGAAGGGAGGCAGTGTTGGTGGAGGACGCTTAGGCAGTCCCTCTGGTGATGGCTGTGAATCTGGTGGTAGAAGTAGTGGATCTGGCAGCAGAAGGTTTAGCCAACAGCAGAAAGGGGCTGTAGTTTTTAGAGGAAAAATGG